AATGCGTCATATGATTGTCACCTTGCCATAAAGTTATATGATGAGAGAATGTACACATTGCCGTTCGTGTAATACAGATTTCTCGTAAATGACGTAAATTGAAGACAAATGAAATCAATTATTTTACTACAACATCGTTTTTATATGTATTGTTACGTAAGTAGAAAATAGTGATGTAAAAGTAAATAATTAGTAAAAGAAATGGTAAGATTATATATATAATGAAAATCGTTGATTTCTTAATCTTCTCAAGGTAAACAAAATCCCTTTAAATATTTATTAAAAGTTGGATGAAGAGATCAACTCGTTTATTGTGTAAATAAAAAAAAACAGCTGTCATCTGAAATGATGATATATTGTTTTTATACTTCTCGTATTTATTGTTAAGTGCAAGCTACCGCTCTAAATTCTGCTAGTTACATGATACGACCAATTAAAAACGAACTTCAAACATCAAAATTAATCTGAAGTTCAAATCGACCAATGTCGCAGTAAGACCCCTGAGGTTGGCAGTTGTCTCTCTTATGCTTCCTTGGCACTCGTTACTGATTTTATATAAACTTACAGATTTTAAGGCTTCTGATATCGAATTGTAACATGATAGTAAATATAAAAATAAAGGTTTTCTCAGGAACAGAATTTTAAAACTATTAAAATGCCGTAACCACATACCTATCATATTTTAATAATGTGTTTACAATACACAATCTGATTTTAGGAACCATAATGATGATAAAAATCTTAGCCCTTTGAAACATGTAATATTATAAACCGACTAAAATACGGAAGTATTTCACTATATGTAGAATAGAATATAGTTAACAGTTTATTCATGATTTATGAAGGTGTTTTGTCAAACCCAAAGTGTAAATTTGAAATTAGTGATATAATTAGAGGTATATCGTAAACATCGCAATGATATAATGTCAGAACGATTTTAAGACGGAATGCAAACAAGTTTTAAATGCCACTAACGCTTAAGCTTGTAAGTTGTTAATTGTAATTTTAGTATCTCGATAAACTTAAATGTCAGTTAGACTATTAAGTTTAACAGAGTTTTCTAATAGCATTATAATTTTGAGCTACAAAATAATTTAATACAGTTTTAACGTAAGTATAAAAATGTATGAATTGATACACATATACTATTGACAAGCATTTAGTAATGTTAATGATTTATGACATGCTTTCCAATACTTTTTAATGTTACATTTCAAAGAGAAGTAAAGGTTGGATTGTTATACCTAATTATTATTTTCTAGATATAAATCCGTGGGCATGATTATTTAAATCATTGTCAGAGCAAACAACAACAAAGGCTTTGCTAAATCGGAGGCGGTGGCCTTGATAGTTGCGCGTACGCACTCGGTCGATTTACAAAGTAGAGACAACAAAAAATGTGAACTTATAATGCAGACTATATTATAATGATATTCGATGTACATAATTATATAAATATGTGAAAGAATGAATACTTGATTGTACACCATATATAGAATATTACAATTGCTTGATTTTAGTTACACAATCGGGGACCTTATAGCTAAAAAGCAATTTTTTAGGGCTAAGCAACCTTTTTTAACGTAGCGAAATGTTTAAACACTATCCCCGTCATTTGACAGGCGGCAAGGAGTATGTGGCAGTAGAACATGTTTTCATATATAAACATATATATATACATTTTTACATAAATATGTAAATTTATAATAGAAGTTTCTTCCAAACGTAATAAATAATGTTAACCTTTTTAATGTTTTCAAAACACACGCATTATTTCTTCGGTTAATACATTCCATAAGCGAACAGCCTGAACTGCAAATGACTTAAATTCAGCTAATATATATACATATTCAACCTACTAAAACCGTTACTTATAAAAAGAGTTGTTTTGCAAACGGTACATGTGCAAGCGCCGTCGGCTATCCGCATTCCACAGAAAGTACCGCGTCACTGAGTCCGACAACTGTGAGCGTCTGGTGCACATCGCGTTACTACGATCACGTGAGCAGATGATACGTTCATTGAGCGCTCATCACGAGTCAACGACCGCTCATCTCGCGTAATGCTCATCTTATACTGTTTAATATAAACAACTGTTATATAAATATAAATCAATCCTATAAAAAAGCATGTTATATTTATACCAAATTCAATACTTTTGATATTTAAATCGTAATGTTACGTAACGACTTTGCTAGCATTATTTTACATCAACAGTATACACATGTTAACAAAATAAATTTCTTTTTTTATAAAATATATATAATATAAGAACGAGTATGTTTAAACACAGTTTATAAAAATTAATCAAAACAATCAAGAATGTAATAAGACACATAACAATATTAACTAATCAATCTAAAGATCAATTACTTAAAAACAAGTTTCATGTAATAAAAGTAAAAACACACAACAACAGAATCAATTAAATAAAATATAAATTGAAACAATTTTATGATAACAACCTCGCTCTGTAATAATACTATTAGCACTTGTCCTTGACTAAAATATAAATTAATATTGTCAGTATTGGGGCACGTAAGATTGTACTGTACATAAGCGCAAGCGGGGATGCGAGCGATTTTTAATACAATAATATAAAAAAATATATATTAAATATTTAATATTAAAAAAAAACTATGTAAAAATAATTGAATATAAAAAAAAAATTATGGTTTAAAAAATCATGAACTATTTGAGACTTATAAATAAACTATTAAAGACTTAGTCCAACTACGAATCAGTGGATGTTAACGCCTGATGCTGCTGAGACTAATGGCTTGACGGGCCCTCTAAAGCACGGTGATCCAGTCTCTTCTTATTAACTTTCAACTCGTCAATTAACTACCAGAAACAAATGATAAGGTAATATCGAACAATTTAATATTACAACCCTTTGTCAAATTCTATTTTACCGATTATAAATATATACGCGTAAATATGTACGCGAGCGGAATCACAGTACGCCTCAGCTCATATATGGTCAAATTATTTGATTCTATTTCTTTGATTGCTTGTCGAATAATTTATGTTCCCCTAAATGGGCGTAGACGATCAAAAATTAAAGATTGCAAGTTTTTATAGAAAATAAATTTTAATTTCAGATAGGCAAATTGATTGATAAGTTGTCGTTAATTAAATAATAATTTTATTTGATTAAAATGTTATTTCCAAATGGATGAATTTAATGAATTGAAATCGTAATGAAAGATGATGAATCTGTTCAAGTGGAGTTTTTCGGATTTGAGTGGAGATTCTTTTGACAATGAAATTGGTATAAAATATATTTAACAATATTTTTGATTCTCATTGAGAAGAATTGCAATTGTAACGTACTTACTAAGAACTATAGGCATAATTTCATATTTTTACTTTATATACTTATTATGGGGCTCGACGTCACAGTGATTAGAGCGTTCGGTCTGCGAAGCGGAAGCTAAAAGTTTTATGTCCACAGACCGCTGGAGTTCTAAAGCCCAACTGAAGTAGGTTTAAATTACATTTTTCCACCTTTCTGATCAGTTGGTCTAGAACTGTAATTGAGACGTATTTTAGGTGGTAGCACTCCAACGGTTAAGAACAATGGGCGCTTGATAAGTGGAAACATCCATAAGATAATATATAACGGAATCATCAGCTAGCAAATTACAAAATGTATTTGAAGAATATCAATAACTAACCTAACCCGACCGAATAGCCAATCATCTATGCAACAAATCATGCATTTTCATCTCCACTTAATAGTTTTATAATAAATAAAAAAGCTAGAAATAACATTTCCCGCAAAACAAATATTGACCTCGACCGGAAGAAAAACCATTTGAAAGACAACCAAATTTGAAGTCGTGTTCGTCTAATCAAAAATTGAGTTAATTTTGAACATCCATTCTATCATAAGTATGATTCACTGTTCAAATTTATTAAACAAAAGCCTGTTTGAACTTCACGCAATTATTCATTTCGGATATTACACAACTTTTAATTAGACTATATCACTTTCTCAATTTGGAAGTTATAATTGACCATTAGAATTGTTGCTTTTCATTTGAAAAGCGAAAGCGGTTTACAGCTTTTTATTTACTTTTGTGTAAACGTTATAATATTAAATTTTTCTTTTAGGAGATCTAATGACTATACAACTTTCAACTACCCTCATCATCAATATTTCTTTATTCTTAGTTTTTGTACTTTATAAAAATATGATAGTTATTTACACGAGAATCCTAAAACGCAAAAAAAGCTACAACAAAATACCATCAATAATGTAATCGAAAAGTATTGATTAAAATAAAAAAAAAATTGTTGGAAAAGACTTCACGACAAAACATAATATATAATAAATTTAAAATCATTCGCTCGTATCTGATAATTTAAAATCATATTATGCAACGACAAAGATTGTCAGAATCAAAGCTCGGGGTGAACTCAATTGCACCGAGTTCAATGCCATGGCCGCTCGTTAACTGATGAGTTCGTGTTACGTCATCTTAAGCGATCTTTAAAACCATACGGACACAGATGAACATTATCATACGTTTATAATCAAACGTGTAGTATATTGTGTAACTAACTAATGTGATTAGACAGCTACAATGCGTTAAGAGAGTGGTTTCGATTCAAAAGCTAACGAATCGTATAAGCACAAGTTATTTTAAAATTGTGACAGAACAGTTGGAGGAAACCCAGAAATGGAATAGTAATTATGGTTAATAAGAGAAACCTACACTCGTGAAAATATTTTAGGAAAAGATGAAAAAGACTTTTTATCCCAAAAACATCTTAACAAACATAATCTGACAATTTAGTTAAAGAAACAGACTAAGAATATCAGGTTGTTCGTGCAAAACGCTCCAGTTGCAAATGTAACACAATACCTATTGCACATTCGGGATTAATTTTCAATTCGCTTTGCATATAAAGTGCGAAGAAATAACTTTAGCATCATAACTAACAGAACAGTGAGACGATAAATTCACAAATCGTAACAACGCTTCAGCAAGATGTTCCAAAAGGTAAACAAGAATGAGTTATTTATAGTGATAAGATTTCTTTCTTATTAAAGATATCTTAAACCTAAAAGCGCCAATAATTATTGCTGTAAATGAATATACAGAGTTAAATTTTATGAAAATGAAATTTCCTATTTATTAAAGAACTTTTACTTCCAAAACGCAAATAATATTCAATACCTATAGAATTTTTTAATAATTAATCGACAAATTATAATGTGGACGTATGATAAAAATTTTTTGGTACAACAAGATTTGTATGATTTATATTTGTTTTAAATTACAGTTGGCCGTTCTTTCATACCTCGTAATTTCTACTACCTGTACGATATTGCATCAGCATCCAATTCCTTTGCTGTTTGGACTAAACTATCATGATGACCCCAGCTATAGTTTTGCCTATGATGTCAACGACCCTCACACTGGAGACATTAAAAGTCAGCATGAAAGTAGAAGGGGAGACATTGTTCTTGGTCAATATTCCTTAGTCCAGCCGGACGGTGTGCAAAGAACCGTTGATTATAGAGCTGATATGCACAGAGGTTTCACGGCTACTGTTAATAATGATGTAAGACCAGTTGTCCATCAGCTACCTCAAGTGACTGAAGTCCCAGAAGAAATACCAAGGCAGTCCAATATTAATGTCCACATAGTCCATCCTTACCCTACCGCAAGTTATACTACCTCTAGTCCAGCCTCGATAGCCATTTCTAGAACAAATTTGCATCAAACCATATCTAATGGACTTAATCCTTGGATTTGAACAAAATGATTATATAGATTTAAATTAAAACAACAGGCGACGAAAATGGACACCGTCAAAATTACTACATTACAATTATAACAGCATCATATGACCCTCGTATCAATAAAAGAGTATCATTAACGTTAGATTAAACAAAAGACTGGCTATTAAACTGCATTTAAAAGGAATTTAGTAAATATCTAGTTGAAATGCTGTCTATGAGTGGAATGAACATGATAATAACATAATCGGTGAACCGGATGGCCTTGCAGGTCCACTGTTACCTAGATCCAAGGGAAAATTGTCTTTATCTAGCGTTAATGCCAGTTCTATGACTAATATCTATGAAACCTTTCTAATTATTTAATGCATTTTATAATTATGTACAATAAATTCTGAATAATAGCAAAAACTTTCACTCTGTTTGCCTTTTTCTCGGTACTGTCTGGTTATTAAATACTGCATGATACCAATAAAGGTATGTCCAGATGTTTTAAGAAGCTTATTAACTGCTAGAGTTTAGGTTTTGTTTCCAGTACATGTCAAATGAACTTGAAGAGCATTTATTTAATTTTATTGTGAAAGTAAAAAATAACGTTAAAAATATTTTACTTGAACAATACCCAATATCACATTTTTATTTTGTTTCACCTATCTGATGTGCATTTTTCAGTAATCAAATCTTGTAAGCTAAATAATTATTATCCTAAATGGTCGCTGTTACAAAATTGCGGCGTACATATTTCAGAATAACCCACTCAATATGCGTATCAAATGAAAGAGTTTAAATTGTAGTATACACTAAATAAAAGCTTGTTTAAAAAACCTTTTGATTTTTTACTTGTTAACTATAAACGATTCCCTGGTTAAGATGGGCGTTCCGCAGGGCTCAATACTTGGTCCTTTCTTGTTTTTAATTTACATAAATGACTTGCCTTATTTCATAAGGGATAATCACGAAATAGTTTTGCCTGCGGATGACACTTCACTTTTGTTTAAAATTAAAAGAGGGCTACCTCTAAATGACGATCTGAATGTGATTCTATTGCTAAAGTAGTACATTGGTTTATTGTAAATAATCTTCTCCTTAATAAAGGAAAAACAAAATGCCTAAAATTTGTAATTTTTAACCTAATGTTAAAAAAGTAGATATACATGTGAATATAACAGATAAAAACATGGGCCTCGTAGATTCCACAGTATTGTTAGGAATAACACTAGTTTCTAAACTACACTGGGGCCCAAATATTAAGAAATTGTATAATAGACTCGGTTCTGCAGCATATGCCGTAATGAAGATACGTAGGTTAACTGACATAGATACTGCCTGATTAGTATACTTCAGTTACTGTCATAGTGTACCTAATGTCGTACGGAATCCTATTGTGGGGAAAATTCGGGTCCCATTCAAATTTTACACATCAAATCTACCCAAGGGTCCCCGACTATGAATCGTTCTGTTCTGCATTAGAATTTACGATTTATCTGTGTATCGATTATAAAACTATTTCAATTGTGTAGTTATTTAGTAAGTATTACTTAACAGAATTCGTAACTATTGGGCTTGTTTCTTTCTTTTTAAGTTAACTTTTTCATGTGTTTTTTAAAAATCGTTTTTAAGCAGTCGAGATGTATGTTTATCTTTAAATATATATATATACTTCTTAGTTACGATTCGTTGTTCAACAGTTTTTTTTTTTTTTTTTTGTTTTTATATCGTTTATACTTTAAATAAAAACTTACATCAATAAGTAAAAAAATTAACGAGAATGATTATTTTTTTAAACAACTTTAAGTCTTTATATATCCTAAACTATTATTTAAAATTAAAAATGATAAAAGGAACCTAAAAATGATTTTAAAATCCAACGACACCTCACTTGACATAGTTCATTGTTTTTTTTTTTTTTCATTTTGAAAATATGTCCTCTGGTTGTCGCTGTGATGAATTTTGATTACTGTCATGTCTTTAGTGACACTCGCAAGGTTAAGACGAATCGATTGACGTAAGAATCATCAAAATCGGCTTTCGCATTTGGTCTTTAGAACGCCACATAGAAACAAACATACATACATAGACTGATAAACACAAAACACATTACCCTCCTTTGAGTCGTGCAGTAATAAAACATAAATGTTGTCAAAACAATATGGCCTATCATAGAAATATTATAAAACGGTTGTAATTTGTAATTGTTCAAAAAAAAAAGATAAATATTAAGATAGAAGTTATACTTTTGACACAAAATTAAATAATTAATTCATGGGCATTTTATAATGACTACCCTATAAGAAATCCAGATTTATACTCGGTTACAAATGAACCCATAAAAATAAACGATGCTTTGTTATTAGCAAAAAATAATGTGTTTGGAAACATTCAATATTTTCTCAAGGTTTGTGAACAGTGATCAATGAAGCCATAAAGATTGCCTGTTATTTAAACCACAGTGCATCGCACCCGGTACATACTCACTTGACTTTTATTTCCTGATTTCCTTCTTAAAAATAAACTAGTTTAAGTAGAACTGGAATAATATTCAAGATATAAAAGGGTATCGGATCCTCAGATGAAGCATCACATCAAAAACATCTCTCGACGTAGTCACCACAACAGTCAATACTTTTCAAAATGTTTGTGAAGGTATGTAAATCTTTTTAACATTTTAATATTTTCTTTTCGCGTCTATTAAGTTTCCATAAATGGTCAAAAAAGATTATTAACAGCATTAGTTGTCAATTACTTAGTATTTGCCAATGAACCTAAGCAAGTTTTATGTTTTGTTACAGTTCGTCGCATTCCTCTGCGTTCTGGGCTGCGCTTGCGCTAGCGATCTTTCAAGCTTCGCGTACGATGTCGCGGACCCTTTCACTGGCGACTTCAAGAGTCAGGCTGAAACTCGTATTGGTAATATTATTATATTCAATACTAAACTAACGGAGCTACTCCTGGTTCTTAGCCTACCTCATTTCTCAAGATAGTAAATCGACGTCTTCAGTAAACTTGATACTAATCATTCTTTTATTTACTAGGCAACGATGTACGCGGCCAATACTCGCTTGTTGAGCCTGACGGTTTTCGGCGCACAGTAGACTACGCAGCTGGTGCCGAGGGATTCAACGCTATCGTCCGTCGTGACCCTGCCCTGGCTGCCTACATCGCTCCCGCCCTCCCCTACGCCAGTCCAATCGGCTTCAACTTCAAACTGGCCAACTTTGGCCTCGCTCCGTATGCATACGCTAAATACTTCAAATGAATGAAAGAACCTGGAATTGACTTCTGCTGTAAATATTTGACCTGTACATAAAGAACAACTTAACTATACTTTAATTCGTTTTATTTTTGCTTTATAAAGCTGCGAATTTATTTTGTATATATGGCAAAATGCAAGTTGTCGAGATTCTATTAATATGCGATAATTACGTGAAAGGAAAACAGAATTGAGACCCTGGTAATGGAAAAACTTAGGGAAGAATTTCATTATCAGGAAACCCAATTATTCAGTAAAAAACTGTTACAAGCGCTTTTCATTACATATTAATATCACCAATAATCAGCAGATGCCTTCTCTATGAACCAAATAAGTAAAATTATCAGAGGTAAATAAAAATACATGTCAACTGAAACAATGAAATCAATTACACAGTTCTAAGCGACATTATTTCAAATACATATATCCTATAATCCACAACAGGATATACATAACTTCGACTATACTTCACGGTGCGGTACTTAATACGGATTCGGCCGGTTTGTAATTTATATTAGTAACTTTACAACTATGGCGGAATCGAGACAAGGCGTGACTAAACTACTAGTCGCGACAATAAGGGATAGGAATATCGTAGTAATTTGAAGGTCTTTTAACGTAAATAGAAATTTGTAATAATAACTATAAAAAGTTTTTATTCGCTTTTAACGTAATGTGGTGCATTTTTGTCGATCCTGCCTTATACTTGCCTTTTCCAAGCTTAATACACTATATTTATCTGATTTTTCCCAGTAAATTATTAAAATATTTTATAGGTTCTTTAAAATCTAATATCCTTTAAATTTAACAGAGTATTTTTTATTATCGAACGTTACAATAAAATCATTCCTATTTCGAATTGTAATATTTTTTTGTGAACTTTTATAATACATGCTCACGTACATGGTCTTAATGGGACAACCGATTATTTGAAATTACACTATTCTATTTTTTTATTATCTATAGGAGTTTCAAAATTTCTACTGCTACGTTAAGATTATTCTGAGCAATAAAATTTTGTACATTAAATATTTTCATGTAAGAAAAGATATAATAAAACTTACTATACACAATAATAAAAAAATATTTGTATAGAATTATATAATACAAATTTAAGGTAAGTACGGAATTTAGAATCATTCCGAAACTGCAACTCAATACTCAATAAGTTTATTTTATAACGTTTTGTTTTTACCGTGTTTAACTTATATCTTATTTGTATGTATTTTTTAGTTTTCTTTATTTAAATGCTTAAGATTTGTACTGCACGTGACACAACATACTTTATTTTTGCAATATAGGTACACAGGGCATGATTGACAGTTGGTGGGAGCATTCACTCATACTGTTAAAGGTCATTAAGTTTAACTAAATATAGCCTTTAACCATCGGTGAAAGAAACAAAAAACTTATGACGATTAACTGATACTTTGACGCGTGAAACTTAACAATATTACAGAATTGAATTTGATACATGTGACCAAGGCAGTGAGTAATACAATCTTAGAAAATTATCTGCATTCGAGTAGTTATAAGTGTCGTGATAGGTAATAAATGTACACCTAAAACTTTTACGTACTTAAAGATAATCTTGTAATAACATACAATACACTTCTTTTTTATGGACAGTCTAGTAAAAATCATCAGATTCTAATTGATATAGATTATTGTCTTCATATAATTATTTTGATGACATTGAATGCGAAATACGCTAAATATACGCTATAATATTTCAGATACTAGCGTTTCCTAAATCTTAGAAATACTAATACTATTCTTATACCAGAATAAAAATAATTTTATACATTTAGTTAAATCATTACTTTAACGGATATTGATTCATGATACGAAATTCACTTATTGATGTATTGATAGTATAATTACTGAAATACTAGTTTGAGCTGGTGAGTTTCTTGTTCGTTCTTCTTATCAGCCATAAGACGTCCTGAACGAGCGGTAGGGGAAAAATGTTGGTCGATTCAGAAGTATTTTCAAGAAGTCTATTTGAATAAAGATTATTTTGTCTTTGACTTTAACTAACAAAAATATAAACGCAAGGTTTGAAACATGAAACAAAAAAATCATTTTTTTTTCACGGAAAATATGATCCCATTTTACGTAATTTATTAAAAAAAGCAATCTTTACAAAGTTCATAATTACAATTGTTACAAGCCAGTTAATATAATTACAAATCTTACTTTATATTATTTCATTTTTACTTATTATTTTAAAGATTCTCCTTGTTCATAAATACCATTTTTATTGTATTTCTCCCTTTATTATTAGATATGTTCTATTCTTATAACAAAGGGAGAAATAAAGTTTGCAAAGGATAGGATCCAAAAAACATATCTGTTTTTAAATACGGATACCTACATCATACTCAGATACCATAGACTATTTATATAGGCGGGCGAAGTTGCGGGAAAAAAACAAGTAATAATTAAATATTTAATTAATAATAAAGCAGTTATCTGGTTTAATGATTTAACTTGATGAATGAGAGCATGAAATTTTTATTAAAATAGTATGATTTAACAAATATTTACAGTTTCTACAAAGCGTGTCGTAACATAATTAAACGCATAAATATTTCAAGGATAAATTAAGTATGTATAAGAACGGATACTTCGAAACGAGCCAAAGTAATTGTTTCCTCTAAAGTTTATATTCAAATAAATATATATGTTCATATTCCGTGGTCAGTTGTTTCCGCATTACAGATTGACTGTCTAAATTGTGCTGCTCGAAAAAAACCCTCACTCCGCATGACCTAGAGCATGATACTGTCTCATACTTCCTATTGTTAGTGGAACGATTGGGCAGGACTAAGCAATATAAAAGAACAGTCACCACCAGGATTTAACATTCGCTGTTCACAGTGCAACAAAAACATACGTATCGAAATGGCAGCTAAGGTAAATGTCCTTTGTGGTTAGTGTTAGAGTGGTCTGTTAATAGTGTCAAGTGAATAGTAATACGAAATGGTTTAAATATGGTGCTCTATATTAACTACAAATACTTCATTTTTAATTATTGGTTCATTTAATATATTGTGAAATGGATCGCTCTCATAGATACTGTTATAAATATAGTTTTTATTAACCTAGATGACAAAGCATTATTAACGTCTTATTTAAAATCAGTATTTATTTAAAATAATTTCATTTTTGCTTTTTTGCAGTTCGTAATTGTCGCTATGCTGGTGGCAGCTGCTCAAGGCAGCGCCATCCACGGAGCTGACTACACCAGCTTCTCGTACGGTGTGTCAGACCCGCACACCGGTGACGTCAAGAGCCAGCACGAGACTCGCGTTGGTGACAGCGTAGTCGGCCAGTACTCCCTCCTCGACTCTGACGGCACAAAGCGCACTGTAGACTACGCTGCTGATGCCCACTCTGGATTTAACGCTATCGTCCGCAAGGACCCCGCCCTCGTCGCCCACGCCGCTCCCGTGGTGGCTCACGCCGCTCCCGTGGTAGCTCACGCCGCTCCTCTCGCCTACGCCGCGCCCGCCTACGCCGCGCCCGCCGTCGCCGCACCCGTGGCGTATGCTGCCCATACCCCAGCCGTTTCCTCCGTATCTGCTTACTCCACCTCCCTCGCCCATGGTGGTTACGCTGCCCCCGTGGCTGCATACGCCGCACCCCTTGCCCATGGCGTGGCCTTAGGAGGTCTCGGTGCCCACGGTCTTGGCGCTCATGGTCTTGGTGCCTACGGTTCTCATCTTGGCTACGCCAAATACTACTAGATAATTTATTGTATACCTGTGTAATATACGTTAATGATTATGACTCCGTCATACATATACATATGACGCAAATACTGTGATGAATAAAATACTCTTATTGGTGACTCCTAATCAACATTTTATTTAATTTCCATTATTCATTTTCATCTTAAAAATAAATACACTCACCTGTTAAATCAAGTGAAGCTCTCAAAGAATATAAATCTACTGAGTATTGTTCTATTATTTTTTCCTAATACAATATATGTATAACATTATAAGCCGCAAATAAATTAATATTTTATTGGATATCCAAATAGAATCACTCTGAAGAGATCTAATAAGCTACCCAAGTAATTCTATATAAATACTGACTTAAATGAAAGCAATATCTCAGATATTACTAATTATTTTAGATATTTATTAATTAAGTTGGATATTTAGTATATATTATTATATATTTCGATAAAAATACCAGTTAATAAAATTTGAAATGATATAACTTGTATCTAAATTATAAAAAATTACAAAGTCTGGTAATTATTTTATGCATTTCTCTTTAAAGATATCAATCAACACAGCATTGTTGATACAACATTGACCAAATATGATTTATCATTCTATAAATTTTCTATCATTTCTCTCTCATTTTTCGTGCACACCTTGATCGTATTATATGCGCTTGTATGTAGTAAGTTGTCACTATTTTAAAATGAAACAATGTTTATACGTCATTGGTGTACCCCGTTATCGAAGGTGCAATTTGGTAACTGGACGTTTTTAGAGATGGGTAAAATATATCGATATTGATAATTAGTTTTATATAATTATAAATGAGACGGCCCAAATCTGCGCTAGTCGTTTCATGTTGAAAGGAAGTAAATAATGATTGAATATAAATTTTAATTGTTTTATGAAAAATTGTTTGAATGTAATATGAAGGTAATGCTATCTGAACAAGTTGTTATATTGTGATAAAATATTGCGACATAATTATCCTTTTCACTTAAAAATCCCGATAGTTAGAGCAACAAATTATATACATTCTTATCGTTGAATAAAATATCTATATAGTTATCCAAATTTGATAGTGCACTATAAACTTTTGCTTGTGGAGTAAAATATGTAGTCTCCTTTGTTATTTTTTTTTTTTTATATTATATGTTTCTACCAATTTTTTAAAACGTCCGGCTTTTAATTTACTCCTCTGGTAACGGACCAGTCAGAGATTTAACTTAATTAGCTATCTTGAATAGCAAACGAAAATTATATATAATTATTTACCCATACCATGAGTTAATAAGACACTGCCCGAGGGAATATGTTTAGAGCTCGTGTTCAAAAATTTATACTTATGTGCAAATTAGAATTTGGTCTTAGAACACCAAAATAAAAATTTGATAATTTAGATAGGTACCTACAGCGCAATCATTTTAAAAGGAGTAACTATATTTGTATCTTAAATTTGAAGACTAGCATATATGGTGGACTTGTTTGGCAGCAGGCTAACTTTTGAAATCAATCGCCATCGATCGATTGTTCGATACTCTTAACGTGCGACACTAGCGTCAATTGCGTTAATATTAAGTGATCATTGGATAAACCAAAAGTATTGAGTTCATACTATAATCCATATCGGTTTTTATTTTTCTACATTAACATTATCGTTATGGTTATAATGTTGTGATCGTCACTTTTGCAGAGACCTTCGGTAGCTAACTTCGTGTTTGTGTTTTTACAATATTAAGTTTCATTGCAATACTCAAGAAATTTTGTGTCAAATATCGTCATAGTATAAGTTTAAATTTGGATTGTATTGATTGAAATTGTGTTCAAGAGCGAACCTACTAATCATATGTAGCTTAAATTGTTGGGTAAAGTCTTAATCGCCTACCTACTTTAGTTTTGTAAATATTGGTTGATGTTTGACATTTGTCTTTAGTTCTAAGTAAACAATAATATGAAATACTTATCAACTATTAATAAATAAATATAAATCTATCTATGTCTTGACGCAGTATATTTTCATGAAAAAATAATCCCAATACTAATGTTATAAATGTGAATGTAACAACTACAAGCTGCTGTGCATCGCTCGCCCGCTCGCAAACAAACGCACACATACACAAGCCGCAGCAAATCTCGCAGCCATCATCGACACATCCATTTCACTCCTCCATGAAGTATCGCCAAGAGTTAGGGCGCTTGTGCACTACACTGAATTTTCAGGTCCGGCGGTCTGGTTTTTTCCGGTCCGGAATGACATGAAAAACCTGGATGAGTAGCTTGTGCACTTGTCCGTTTTTTTCCTGATCGGAGCGGCGCAGTGTAGGGCAGCTCTCTTTGAAGCTACACGCCACTTACGCTAGGTACGGTGACATTTTTATCTCGAATATCGAAATTTAAACTATCGCGCTGTATATCACTGCATATCGTTGCGCTTTGTATTCGACGCGAAATCTGTACATTATATAATCAAATTGCCCAAATTGACACGTTTTTACAACAAGTGTTTGTCCCCAAAAATAGTCAACTCTCGAAAAGCTAGATCGACGACTAACAATTTTTTTTCTAGAATCTAGCAAAGTATCACTACTAGAACCATACGATGATCAAATTAGAACTATATGGAGTTTGCCAAGGCACATGCAGTGATATTTACCAACTATTTTAAATCAACATATAAAATATCGCATTATATAATTTACAATAAATATCGATTTTTCATAAATCGATTATTTTTTCCCAAGCCTACTCCGCAGGCTTATGAATTTTCAAAATCGCGGACACAGTAGTACACTAGCGTAAACACTTTTTTCATTGCCGCCAACACGGACCTGAAAAAACCGGTCCGGAATAGAGAAAAGTAAAATTCCGCACATATCGGACCTGAAAGAATCGGACTACCGGACATGAAAATTCAGTCTAGTGCATAAGCGCCCTAAGTCTTACCTCAAAAAGACAACCACCAGTTGGATGGATATGGGACTCATTATTGTCAAAGTTGCTATCTTATGAATGATCTTTAGACCCTTATTCTTTATAGTTTTTTTTTTTTTCTATATTGTCAAGGAACAAAAAGTTACCTATGAAACATGTTCATTATAATAAACAAAATATACTTAAAAATCTATAGTTCCATTTTTCATTACATGCAAGAAATACATAGTTAATAATAACATTCCGGCACTAAGAAAAATAAACTTCATTTAAAGTACTATATTTTACACAAAATAATTAATTAAATAGGACTACAATATTTCACTTTTCATAAAACATATGATAACATTTTTAATGACTCATTCGAGGAGTTTATATTTAAGATTAGACTTTTGTGTAGGTTATTTGAAACATTTTATTTGCAAAACTTTTTATCCGATCCTATTAGCAGTATGCATTTTAGTTTAAGGATATGATATATAATATTAAAATTGTTAAAATTTTCCTGCTCGCGTGTCTGTCTACTTTAAAGCCGGAGGCTATTGATTAACCAATATAACATTCTAACAAAAACGCTCACTTAGCGACCTAGAGAGCACATACGGTTTTTTAACTTCCTTTCATTAGTATTATTGACGTACAACTTTGGGGTTCTTATAAAAGAACTGTGACTATCACACACTTATCGTTCATAACTATCTGAGCGACAAAAACTTATATACAATGGCAGCTAAGGTAATTTAACTGAGAGTGATCGTGTAATTTTAAACAAAATTAATTTAAAAAATGGTGACAAATTTTGAAGCCATGAGTAATATCTCTTACTCGTTATACTTTATTGCAGTACGTGATTATCGTTATGCTGGTGGCAGCTGCTCAGGGCAGCGCCATCCACGGGGCTGATTACACCAGCTTCTCGTACGGTGTCTCAGACCCGCACACCGGTGACGTCAAGAGCCAGCACGAGACCCGCGTCGGTGACAACGTAGTCGGCCAGTACTCCCTCCTCGACTCTGACGGCACAAAGCGCACTGTAGACTACGCTGCTGATGCCCACTCTGGATTCAACGCTATCGTCCGCAAGGACCCCGCCCTCGTCGCCCACGCCGCTCCCGTGGTGGCTCACGCCGCTCCTCTCGCCTACTCCGCACCCGCCATCGCCGCGCCTGCCATCGCTGCCCCTCTGGCGTACGCTGCTCACACGCCCGCTGTCTCCGCCGTATCCGCTTACTCCACCTCCCTCGCCCCCGTCGCTGCATACGCCGCACCCCTCGCCCATGGTGTGTCCTTAGGCGGTCTCGGTGCCTATGCATCTCCCCTCGGCTATGCCAAATACTATTAAACAATGCACTATTATTAATTGCTCGTGTAAATTAATATTATTAATTACGAATTGACAAAAAATTGTGATAATATGTTACCAAAGTGCAAAAGATAGTGAATTTGATGTTATAGTGAAATAAAGACTATATTGGTATATACTCTAGTTTTCTTTTAAAAAACCAACTTACAACTTCTTTTTTTTTGATAAATTTTGCATTTGCTATGCTATTTAAAAATATCAGTACTGTAAAATAATCATAAAATCACTTTTAAAGGCCAATGGGAACAGAACACATGAAGTGAAGAAGTTTTGATAATGCTCACCAACCAAAGTAAATAATTAATTGCATAAGTGTAAAACAGACGGTCTCTCGAGTAACTTCTTTAGTACAGTATCTAGTGGCCCGGTTAGGAAAAAGAAAAATCTGTGGTTATAGTGTACACTTATAAAAATGGCAATATTACAAACCTAACAAAAAAAAGAAATTCAGCAGTGTGTAGTCGATTATATTTGAAAAATTAATTTCGCTCGAAACACATTAACTATTTTACAGCAACTCTTGGATTTTTAAAATAAATATAATATTGCAAATTAATAATTCATTTAAAAATAATTCATAGCATTTATTATTTCTGGGATATATTTATATACAAAGACAGTATTACATAAAGTCTTCATATTTATTAATAAAATATGAATGAAGCTTGTAAAGGCATTAGCTTGTTCTTCTTATCAGCCTGTAAATGCCCTGAATCTGAACGGATAGTTAGTTAAAATATTTTGGATGATTGAAAAGTATTTTTCATAAGTTTATTTAAATAATCTTTTTTTATTTTGCTAATTCATAAATAAACCTGCTATAGCAGCGTAAGGTGAGCGCACATTTACATTTATAATTTAAATCAACGACAATAGCTGTCGATAAAATAAAAAATACACTGAAAAACTCCTGAGCATATACAGTTGACACATAAATTTATCCTCATTTTTGATTAATATGGAAGTTTGTTGTTATATTACAGCCTAAAGGCCTTAAAAGCGTTTTTGAATAAGTTTTTTTTTTAATCTATCGCGTTTCGTTACGTAAGAGCTGTAATGTTATTTACCTAATTAATTTATCTAATTAATTATAAAATAATAATTAACCAGTATTTTTTTTTATTGCAAGTTTTAATTTTAATAACAATAGAACACATTTATAAATAGGGTGAAGGCGGTAACAGTGCATAATTTTTTGTTGTGTGCAGAATTCTAAGAGATAATGAACTTTTTTAAAAATATGGAATTTGAGCCACTTTCGCCAGCCTTGCGATTCTGTAAAAATCCTGACCCGAATTCGAATTCACTCATATGTCCGTACTCGCGTTAGTGCAAAATTCTTGGTATAAAAATACAATAATTATTGGTTGAATATACGTGTCTCAGATATTTTATTCCTATGTCATTTCGATACTCACTTCACTTATATCACGAAACATTATTACCAACACCAAGGTTGAGCGGATGCCGCTTTTTAAAGTGAATTTGGACACCTGAGTGGATTGGGATTCGGGTTCGGATTTTTACTGAATCGCAGGGCTGGGGTCGGGTACAGTGTACATACGCCTAGTTCATAGTAAATTTGGTTAGTACATAGTTTATCACAAACAATTTTTACTCAGTAAAATGTTTTCATATTTTTAAAGAAACCTTAGTTAATCTAAACTATTATAAAAATTAAAAAACAATATGCCTATTTTGTTTTGAATCCAATGATGATTCACAGATTACTTGAGAAATTCGACCCACTGTGTAACAAAACTGCTATTTTGTATTTATGACAGAATGTATCTTTGTCAGTATCACGCGAATGACGATAAAATAAACGCCAAAATAATCACAATTAAGTTTACTTTGTATAAAAATTAACAATTTAGTTATTTAACGTAACTTTATGAAAAACTATAACCACGCCACTGTCGTTCACTCATTGCATTTCAATTCGGATGGTATCAGAAAATTTAAAATCATCTTTTCCCATTGAGACTTGCCCCAATATAATAGATGTGTATGTGGGCACCTGCGGACATCGCTACTACAACTGCGACTACGCTGCTGAAAGTCGGTTGGTGAGGCCCATGCTGGATGGACAGAGCGGGTGGCCGCTGGGGGCGTAGCTGTGGACACGGCACAGGAGGCAGGGACTCTTTTTCCACCCGACGTTACCAGACTGCGCTATGCTTACATGGCACTGTCTTAGCGGCGCCGGGGGAGATAGAGCCTCTTTGGAAGCGCAACGAGAGTGCTGCGAGAAAGGCTCGAGGGTATAGCCTTGGGGGCTAACCCAGATGGGAGGCCTGGGTGGAACTCTCGAAATGGATAGTGGCTAGGGTTGACACCCAAACCGCATCCCCGTGGGATTACCCCGTGGAGACAATCCACTCTCTGGGAAAAGGCTGTTATTCACCCAAGTCTTTTCCTTCCCGTAGAGGGCGACTGCATCCCCCTCTCCCCCCGACAGGAATCCCAACGCGGCGCAAGATGCCGGGCTCTGTCCTAGGAAACCGGATTCATCCTATCTACATGACGTGAACGACAGAGGGTTTTACCAGGTAGGATGTCCACACTCACCTGCCTTTTTCAGGATAGGGTGGAAGGGGAGCCCTGGTTTAAGGCTTGAGATGCATTTCGCTTGTGTTAACAAAAAAAGGTATAAATAGCCTTTGCTAGATCATAAATATACTTTAAAACATGGTTATAACTGAAATGAAATTTAACACGTCCCTTACATTGTTATCACACATATAAACGTGAAATTAAAAAAATGGTTACATGAAATAAAGTGTAAATATAATATGTAAAAAAACATTAATGTCATTTAAAATATGGTAACGGGAAAAGCAAATGATGATGTATGAAGTATGAAGCAAAAAACATTATATATTAAAATAGTTTCTCTTATATTTAATATTTTTGTTTCAATTATATTACCCAGATACCCTATAAATTAAATCCGTTTAGTCAGTTAATGGTTGTGGTGGAAAAATAAACTCATATTCATCTATTCTTACATTCATCCTTAACCAAAGAAATATATACTAAATTGAACATTAAACACAATACACTTTTTTTTTGACAGTCTTATAGATAGATATTCATGGTTGCCGAGTATTGTACTTTAAAAAATATTTTTCTAAATGACAAATATAAATATAGCACTGTTAATGTAAAATTTATCTAATATTTATACGTTTTTACGATACGATACAGTAAGTAATAAATGTTGTGTAAATATCTTATTTTATTTTTATTTTGTTATATTTGGGAAACAAACAATATTTATAATAAATACAATTGAAACATTGAAAAAAACACATTAATCAGTAAAGTTTCCACTAATAGTTTTTAAAATATACATGTCACTTTTCACATTAAAAATATATAAATTATCGTTTGGTGTAATTTTCATTAATCACTAACAAAAAGAATCTATAATGTCAAAGTTACACAATGGTCAATATTCTAATTACTCGTACATTAATTATCAAATTAAATTAAATTAAGACTATAAATAAAAATAAAAATATCATTTAAGGATCGTCAGGATTATCCTTTATATTTTCACAAGTTTTTTTAGAGAAGGAATTGAGCAATTAAAAATGTCAATGGAGTTAAATTTCATATCATATTCTTTACAAGATCTATAAACAAAAATATTTCCTGCATAATTAGTTTTAGTTAATGGGACAGAAAAAAAGCTTTTAGACCGTGCACCTATCCGAAGGCACCTTATATTAATATTCTGAAATAAAAATTTCGAGTCAACGTGAGCTTTTAAAATCTTATACAAAAACGTTTGATCCCTCTCTAAATGACGATCGAGTAATATAATCTCATATAAAAAAATCACGCTACAAAATATATGAAGGCGTTTATAATTTACATATATTTAAGGATGTTATTATTTTTCAGCTCCCATATTAATCGTATCGAGTCGTAAGCAGTTGATTAATCAGTGTAATAATATTGACAAAACGCTCACTCAGCGACCTAGAGAGTACGTACATTTTTACTTCCCCTTTTTAGTATTGACGTACAACTTTTGATGTCTTATAAAAGAGCTGTAATGATCACAGGTTTATCATTCGCAACTGACTGTACAACAAACGTTTACCTATAATCAGGAATAATGGCAGCTAAGGTAAATTTTAATAAAAATACTATATTTATTAATTGAAATAAATACATCATTTTTCATTTAAATTTTGAATACTGTAAAAGTAAGATTATTAATAAATTAATTAACCTGTTAAAATTTCTTATCTCTTACTGATTATATATTACCTATTGCAGTTCGTCATAGTCGCTATGCTGGTGGCAGCTGCTCAGGGCAGCGCCATCCACGGGGCTGACTACACCAGCTTCTCGTACGGTGTGTCAGACCCACACACCGGTGACGTCAAGAGCCAGCACGAGACCCGCATCGGTGACAACGTAGTCGGCCAGTATTCCCTCCTCGATTCTGACGGCACAAAGCGCACTGTAGACTACGCTGCTGACGCCCACTCTGGATTCAACGCTATCGTCCGCAAGGACCCCGCCCTCGTCACCCACGTCGCTCCCGTGGTGGCTCACGCCGCTCCTCTCGCCTACTCCGCACCCGCCATCGCCGCGCCTGCCATCGCTGCCCCTCTGGCGTACGCTGCTCACACGCCCGCCATCTCCGCCGTGTCCGCTTACTCCACCTCCCTCGCCCATGGTGGTTATGCTGCCCCCGTCGCTGCATACGCAGCACCCCTTGCCCATGGCGTGTCCTTAGGCGGTCTCGGTGCCTATGGATCTCCCCTCGGCTATGCTAAATACTATTAGACAACGTGCTATTTCTGGCGTGTGTAAAAAAAATATTTATTAAGAATTGACGAAAAATTGTGATAAAATGTTACCAAAGTGCAAAAGATGGTGACTTGACGCTGTGATGAAATAAACGCTGATAAAAAAGTAAAAACTGGTTTAAATTGTCTCTTGTTAATATTGTCAAGAGTTACTTAGATATATTTAAAAAATAATCTTCAAAAAAGACATGTAAACAAAAATGCATTATATTATTTTATTATTAAACCTAAAATAATATACGTAGGAGAAACGATTAATTTATAATTTATACAAAAGTACTAACAAAAAAGGCTGAAACCACAAATTTCATGTTAGGTTTTTCTGCAAACAGTAACTTACTATCTGTATTAGAATGAGCCCTACTACTAGAGAAGTATCAGCGATCAATGAAGAACTCTTAGAGAAAATGGATAAGGAAAAGACTAACATATATGAAAATAATATAAGATAAGATAAGATAAAAACACTTTATTGTACAACACACAACAGAAATAAATAAAGAGTAACTTGCAAACATTAAAACTTTTGCACAATAGGCGTCCTTATCGCTTAACAGCGATTTCTTCCAGGCAACCTATACTGGAAGAAGCAATGATGACAATAATGTAGGTAGGCTGTGCGCGTTACAAATAAATTTAATAATGTTAATAGAAATATAAATATGATAATAAAGTTACATAAAATAAACAAACATAAGATGCTTTAGATAATAATAAGAAGGCAACATATGAAGTAGATTTCTGTTCATCTGACAAAAAGAACTTCGCAGCTTGAAAGACTCCAGCGTTTGGGCGCGTCTAACATTCTCAGGTAAGGAATTCCATAAATGGATAGCTCGCAAGGTAAAAGATTGGCTGTAAAATTGAGAAAAGTTAGGCGGTATGTAAAGGCGGAGATTGTCAGATGAACGAAGGGAAAGATTGTGAGTAGAGGAAAGAAACTTAAAATGCTCCTTGAGATATCTGGGTGACAATGGATTGAACAGCACAGAAAAGAGAAGGGATAATATGTGTAGGTCTCTGCGTCAGCGAATGGTAAGCCAATTCAACCTTTGATGATAGTGAGAGACATGGTCATAATTACGCAGTCCGAATATGAACCATATGGCGAAATTTTGGAGACGTTCTAGCTTATTAAGAAGCTCAACTGTAAGGTCTGGATAGCACACATCTGCATAATCGAGTATAGGTAGAAATAGGGATTGTGCAAGAGTAATTTTGGTGGCAGTTGGTAAGAAGTTACGTAAGCGCCGCAGCGCCCCAGCTGAAGCAAACATTCGTCTACTGATTTCTGCAACTTGTGGTCTCCAGGATAAAGATTTGTCAAATAAAAGTCCTAGGTTTTTCACCGTATCTGTAAATGGAATCACTGTCCCGTCCAAAGTAATTTTCGACAACTGCCCGAAATCAATCCTGGACACAAAGTAAGGGCTGCCAATTATTATACACTGAGTCTTCTTAGGATCAACATTCAAACCAAATGACGAACTCCAGTTCACTATACGATCTAAATCAATATTGATCTTGCGGATAGCATCGTTCAAGTTATCAAATCGCTCTTGCGTATAAATTTGAAGATCATCAGCATACAAGTGGTAGGTGGAAGTTAGATTATGAGTAATAGAATAAATGGCGAATAATAAGGGAGAAAGCACGCCGCCCTGAGGAACACCAGCAGACGTAGAGCTCCACTCAGAGAAAGAGTCTCCTATACGTTGCCGGCGTCCGTGTAGATAACTACGAAACCAGTCAATAACAGTTGGAGATATGTTAAGGGAACTCATCAAGCTTAACAGTATGTCAAAATCAACATTATTAAAAGCATTACTAAAATATACATAGGTATTCATATAAATACGATCATTTCTGATGTCTGTTATTGAATACTTGACAATTACATAGACATTTAACAAATTCACTATAGTGCTTTAGAAATAGGCATATGCTACTAATCTTTGTCGTAGTTGCGTTTGTTTTACTCGAAAAGCAGTTTGGTGGTCTTTTGTCATAAGAGACGTCTCTCAACTCTTTATTTTGGATTTTCCTAGGAAGTGTACTTTTAATAGATTAATTAAAATTTATCCACAATTGTATTAAAAAACTCTGTGTAATTCATAACCATTCGATCACATATAATTTGATAAATATCAGGATAACCCGAAATGTGTTCACATTAAAACAAAATAATCATCCGATATTCATTTCAGAATAATAAAGAGCTCTGAAATCGATATCAAATCAAATTAAAACCATTTATTCAGGCTAGGCAAGCGAAAAGCAGACACTTTAAAAGTCGTAAAGAAATACTCGTAATCCTACGACCTTGTATTAAGAAGAACCGGCAAATTCAACAAGGGCTGCTTTTTTCTCCCTGTTTTATAACATGCAGAGATGTCAAAATGGAAAAATTGAAAATCCTGAAACACCGTGTTTCATAAACTTATATGTGTTTATTTATTGGACGTTATCAAAACTGGACCTTTTTTAAATAAATTACACACATCAACATCGTCTAGAGATATTTTAATGTTACATGTTTATATTTTAATAAAGCCCATTTATTAGCGTAGATTATAGAATAAATTGTTAATACAAAAAATGATAACAAATTGTGAAGATCACAAACATATTTATTATATATATGCAATAAATAGCTGTGAAGTAATTAAGAAAAATAGAAAAAAAATTACATTCCGCTTTGATCTCCGATCTGTGTGTATGTCAATTAAACATTTGTCAAAATTTTACAACACACTTTTGTCCGATCTTTTTATTAATTACCAACCTTTTTTATGCAAAACTAATGGCGTTCATTTTACATTTCTGTAATAATAATGATTTGTTGATCATAAGATTTTATTTATTTGTATAGTAAAAATATTTATTTTTATAAAAAAACAGATCTCGAAATCGTAAAACAATTGTTATCGTGACAAATTAAACTTCGTTTGAAGCCAGACGTTTAAAAAAATTGCCATCAAATCATCGCCCGAATCAAAATTGAGTGTATTCAATTTAGAAGAGAATTATTCGATTATCCTGTATTCGTTATGTAACGGTGCCTTTATTTCGTCCTAGATTTCCGCATGAAAACTTTTTGTCTCTGACCTTCAACATCATTTATTTTTATTAGTCACTTTTCGTAATTTAAAATTTTGAGTAATCCAATATACTCTTCGTGAATGTCAGTTCGTGAAAATTCGTCGAGTTGGAAACATTATACAAACTTTATTTCAATCAATAGCGATTTGTTGTAAAGAGTGTTTAAATATATTTATTATTAAATGAATATTATATCCAATCAAATATAATAAAGAAAATACTCACCAAACTCGAAGAAAAGGGTTTTTTTTTGCTTACCATTAATTAAATCAAATTCTCAAGCTAAGTCAGTCTTTTACTCATTTGCCTAAGCATCGAATCCATCACAGTTTTTTCTCTTAGTTTACATTCTTTTTTAATATAAAAAATAATCGTTTTTAAAGAAAGATAGAAGCAAGTATAAGAATGTAAGTAATTAAAGTATCCTCATACAAACTTTTACCCGTCTTTTCATTTCTTTCATAGGATTCGTATGAAATCAATATACATCTTGCTTAGTGTCTCATACTTTTTGATACCAAATTTTATCAAAATGGTTTCAGACCGAGTTACTTTCGGATTTATATTATTTGTAAGGATAGTTAAAAAAAGTACCACTTTTCTGGTAAAACAGGTTGTTTACAAAAATATCACAATTCATGGTAAACGTACCTCATAAGCTTCATGCCAAAGTGAAGATTTATTCCGGAGATTTATTAATTTTGAGAGGGTGGTTTTTCTGGTAGCCAGCATAAAACTTTCTTTTAAATACTGTACCGTTATTCTTGTACAATTTCTCACTGAAAACATGTTAAATGTACCTTTTTTAAAAAAATGTAAAAAATGGAGGTTCAAGCTTTGTTGAGGAAGTGGACTATACAGAAAATATGAAAAGTAGTATACTGTATCCGTTACGATTTAGAGTTAGATTTTTTCGTATTAAAGTTCCCTAAAGTGCACTGAACTTTAAATTGCATTGGCTTTAACTCGATATAATGAACATATTAAATTACATATTGAACATTGAGTGCAATCCAATGTAAACGAAACCGAAGCCAATGTTGTTGCGCGGTAGCCCTAACAGCCGTCTCTTTTCGTTAATCAAAATCAAAATTATTTATTCAGTTAAGGTTTTTACATAGCACTTGTGAAAGTCTAAAACCATCGGTTCGAAAAACTACGGCGGGAGACCTTGTACCGAGAAGAACCGGCAAGAAACTCAGCAAGGGCTGCTTTTTTTCTCCCTGTTTTATTTCACACAGAGAAGTCTTATTGAAAAGTGATTTATTAGAATATGAAGTCAAATTCCATTAAAATATTAGAAATAAGAGAGATATTTTCGATAAGTGATTAAGATGCCGATTGCCGGTTCATATAGATGATTCTCAATACTTATTCAATCGATTGTATTACCATCCAGCTAATCTTTTCCATCCTTCTCCAACACTATAAAAGCCTTATACTACAATATCTATACTACAGACCTTATAAATATAAAAGTTATTGAATACACGTAAAAAAACTGTTAAGTTATAACAGAAATATACACATGATTATGATATACATATATTTAGAAAATCGGCAGGGTGTGTTTTATTCTTTTCTCAAAAAACATCGTAGTAAAATCCAAATCCAAAGCCAATTGATTTGGTCTAAAAGATTTTTTTTATTTGCACTAAATTTCTTTGACAATAAGCATATTCATTTTAATATATCACCTATACAAATAAACGTATAAAGACGGACAAAAAAATTAAAATAGAATTTACGAAGTTTTTTCTTTATTTGAAAAAATCGTAACACATAGATATAATCCATCGTAGATTTTTTATAGCATTCGTATATCTCTTGCTGCTTAGGCAGCGGTCAATTGTGTTAATTTTAATGTAACTTTTTTGAAAGGAAAACAATGTACTACATATAAAATATTTATTTCATCACAGCGTCAAACCATCTTTCCACTTTGGTAAAATTTTATCATAATTTTTTGTCAATTCTAAATTATTAAAATAAATTTACACGCACAATTAATAGTACATCGTCTAATAGTATTTGGCATAGCCGAGAGGAGATCCATAGGCACCGAGACCGCCTAAGGACACACCATGGGCAAGGGGTGCGGCGTATGCAGCGACGGGGGCAGCGTAACCACCATGGGCGAGGGAGGTAGAGTAAGCGGACACGGCGGAGACAGCGGGCGTGTGAGCAGCGTACGCCAGAGGTGCAGCTATGGCAGGCGCTGCGATGGCGGGTGCGGCGTAGGCGAGAGGAGCGGCGTGAGCCACCACGGGAGCGGCGTGGGCGACGAGGGCGGGGTCCTTGCGGACGATAGCGTTGAATCCAGAGTGGGCATCAGCAGCGTAGTCTACAGTGCGCTTTGTGCCGTCAGAGTCGAGGAGGGAGTACTGGCCGACTACGCTGTCACCGACGCGGGTCTCGTGCTGGCTCTTGACGTCACCGGTGTGCGGGTCTGACACACCGTACGAGAAGCTGGTGTAGTCAGCTCCGTGGATGGCGCTACCCTGAGCAACTGCCACCAGCATAGCGACTACGACGAACTGCAAAAACATAAATTAGTGAGATATAATTCAGCTTCTGCGATTTATCAATTACATTATTTTGATTTTATCAGCTGTATAATATCATGTTATTATACTCAATCAAGTAACTTTTACATATATTTTTATTTCTCTCGATTATTTACCTTAGCTGCCATTATTACAAATTTATGGGTAAGCTTTTGTCAAACGGTTAGCTGCGAATGATAATCTGTGATTGTTGCACTTCTTTTATAAGAACTCCAAAGTTGCATACCGATACTAAGAAAAGGAAGTAAGGTCGTTATGTGAGCGGTTTTTTGTCAGTGTGATACGTTGGTCAATCAGTAGCCTCCGGGTTCGAAGTAGGCAGACACGTGAGCCGGAAAATTTAAACATATACATATGTATATACATCCTTAAATTAACATATCCACCATGACGTAATTTTCTTTTCATATACCTAACGTCTATGGTTATATAAATTTATTTAAATAGCTAAAATATGCTTTAATTGTAATCAAAGCCTGTATCTGTATTTCGCCATCTGTAAACATTCTATATATCACCTTTAAGTACTTTACCTTTTCACTGAACGATTTTTTCAAATTCAAATAAGTGTTCCTCAATTCAAATAATTTTGGTTAATTATGAAATGTTTCAGTACATATGTAGTTTTTGATTTACATAATTTCTGTTTTCACTACAAATTGGTTCGTGAAATATTGTTTTTGATGTAAATCTCAACAGGGAAGAATTGTTACATACCACCCAGCAATATGGAACGATTGGAATGAATAAATAGATAAATTAACTCTCATAAAAGTCTACCGTCATGTACCTCCGCAACCGAGTGGCTCTCATGCCAGTGCCACCATTTTTCTGAGAAGGAGTGGTCTGTTCCCGTTCAGGTTGATTTAGATAATAAACTTTTTTATATTATGCTATTTGAAACTGACATGATCATCAACATCAGAGAGATGGCTAAAACGGTATTGCTAATTCTATATGTTATATGTTACTGTATTCTCAATGTTATCTCATATTATTTTAAGTATGTTATTTATTACCTTTCATTATTTAAAATTGACTACCTGTATTGCAATGTGTGCTAAGTATGTGATGATGATGATACATTATATAATCTAAGGTGATAATTTCTAATATTTAATTAATAAAATGTTATGTGTTAGGTATATGTCAAGTGATTTTAGTACCTTATATATACTGTATATTATATATATATATATATATATATATATATATATAAATTATTGGCTACCTTGTTGACTTACCTATATAAATTGATAAAAATGGCATTTAAAAGAGCTATTCTGATACAACCATTAACTGAGACACCTTCTTTTAAGTACTTTAATTTGTAATGTTAACAAAAAGTATCTATATCTTCTTCTTTGAGCATTCCCTACCGCTTTGATATAGGCTTCTTTGAGTATTTGCCGCCTTCTTCGGTCACATATTCATAGTTTAGTAAAAAATTAAACCAATTCTCTAACGCATTTCACATATTAAGGAAAGTACAAAGCATTTACAGAGCCCAAATGAAATGTCTAAGATCCATGTTCGGACTAATGCAAGAGGACTCGAATGAACAATACATTAGTTAAACTCTTACTATGCCATAAAATAAGAATTGACAAAACTTAAACATTAATTTGGTTACTTTTTAAATAGAAATTGTTTGTAATGTTTTTATTTTTTAATCTTCACTGACGTTTAATTTAAGCTGACTTATCTATTTGTTTTATCTTAATTATATCAATAAAATGAATCATACTTGTCTTTTGTCTTCTCATTCCACACCAATGTATTGAACCCATGTCTATAAACAAATAAATGATTATCATTTAATTGCGTCTATATTGCCATACCTAGTTTAAAAAAAAAGACTGCAAAAAAATGAGATACATTCAATTTCATTTTTTAGTATAGGCTATCAAAAGAGTGTCCAGTGAAAGCACATAATTTTGTAGAAATATTTTTATAGTTTAACCGAACGCTTAAATTATAATTATTTTCTATTCAATAAGAATACAAAATGATTTTACCTATAGGATCTGTAGTTTCGTTCGTGTTTATTTAATGCTAGTATTGAAAACATAAAGGGGCTTTTGCAAAAATGCACCCAAATTTACTTATCTAAATAAGCGATTGAAGCATAACATACACATGAAAAGAACGGTATGATTCTTTACACACCGGCATGCCTTGAGGCTGAACAACATAACCGATCGACTAGCGATATTGTACTGAATGAAAATACCGGCGGCGTGACCTAGAGCGGTCAGTACCGTGTCTTATTTCCTATTGTGAATGGTTTACAACACCATCTGATTTATATAAAGGAACGCCTTCTACGAACCTTATCATTCGCAGTTTACTGTTCGAAAAACCTTAACGAAATGGCCGCTAAGGTAATTAAATTTTATTTATGAATCTCATCTACAACAATAATTAAACAAATTTACAAGTTAATTACTAGTAGAGATGTTATCAAATATTTTTAGTTATTCACGTTTCATAAACCTCCATGCGTTGCGTTCATCTTACGACAAGTATTGCTAGGCTTTACTATGAAAAAATTATAAACGTAAAGCTCTTCTTATTTGTAAATGTATAATTTAAATATTATACTTTAAATTTTATAACATTTCATATTACAGTTCGTAATTGTCGCTATGCTGGTGGCAGCTGCTCAAGGCAGCGCCATCCATGGAGCTGACTACACCAGCTTCTCATACGGTGTGTCAGACCTGCACACCGGTGACGTCAAGAGCCAGCACGAGACCCGCGTCGGTGACAGCGTAGTCGGCCAATACTCCCTCCTCGACTCTGACGGCACAAAGCGCACTGTAGACTACGCTGCTGATGCCCACTCTGGATTCAACGCTATCGTCCGCAAGGACCCCGCCCTCGTCGCCCACGCCGCTCCCGTGGTAGCTCACGCCGCTCCCGTGGTGGCTCACGCCGCTCCTCTCGCCTACGCCGCACCCGCCTACGCCGCGCCTGCCGTCGCCGCACCCGTGGCGTATGCTTCCCACGCCCCAGCCGTCTCCGCCGTGTCCGCTTACTCCACCTCCCTCGCCCATGGTGGTTACGCTGCCCCCGTGGCTGCATACGCCGCACCCCTTGCCCATGGTGTAGCCTTAGGTGGTCTCAGTGCCCACGGTCTTGGTGCCTACGGTTCGCCTCTTGGCTACGCCAAATACTATTAATTAATTTAATGTGATCATTAAGGTCCATCTGTAAATAACTTAAAACGACGAATAATAGTATTATGTGTACATATTAAAAACTTTAAATCAATACTGCTTTTCTTTAAACCACTACTATTAAGAGTATTTAAAAAAATGCCTTTCTATGATGACACTGATATTTTTATATTTTTTTATACGTTTATTAAAATTTTAGCAGGATTAATCGCCTAACTTTGTTACTCATACACTTTACCATTTTTTTACCATGTAACCACATTAACTGGCGTATATAAAACTCAAAAATATAACAATCAGACAGCCATACACAGCCATGAACGCAGCACGGAAGTTTAATTGATTTTGATAGCTTTTTTATTGTGTGTTTTGTTCATTGGACGTTCTTTTTGGTTGAGAGTTGTAGGGGGGCTTTTCCAATTATTATTTTTAACTTTTCATGTAAATAAAAGCGTCGGGCGTTGCAGTAAAGTGGGATATTTGATATTACCTAATAAATGGTCAAACCCATTTTGATAAAAAAAAAATATCATAATAATGCTCTTACTTTTGTTACTCCACTTGGGTCTATTTAATAATATTCAATTATTCATCCTCAATTTCACCCACCATCGCAGGCTGAATCAATTTAGATAACATGCGTCTAATCATTTAGATAGCATGTGTCTGATCAGCAATAAGACACTCAGCATGTCCTTTCCTTTAACATTCCACTTGGGTATATTATATTATGTACTTGTAGAAAATGTCTACGACAATATTAGGCTAGAAAATATACATTTACTATTTAGGTAGGCAAGAGAATATACATTTACTCATATCGCAAATTTAGAAACCAAAGCACTTTTATTAAGAATCTCGGAAACAATGAAGTTTAATAAATAACACCCAGACTATACAGAATTCCAATATTGGCCAGGAATCGAAAACGGAACCTCAAATATGGCGAACACATTAAAACATTTTCTATCAATATAATATATAGTATTGTCAATGCGAAATTGATCTATTACTATTAAATATTAGATGACCTCCGGTGACAAATATAAAAATTTTCACACATGCTCTCAGGGAACGCCTGAACTATTTTTATTTAAGAACAACACAAACAAAAACGTGCTTTCTAACAAAAATACGGATCTAAATCGTTTTATCTATTTTGACATGTATACTAACATACATTTAAAAATAAACAACTCTGAGAACAAATGTGGATCATCCAAATTACTAGAATAATTTGTCTATATTTACAATAAATTTTCAAAAAATAACGTTTAATAAATAATGTGAGTATAATGCAGTCTTCTGTATACATTCAGAGAATATGTTCACATAAGTCAAAATCTTACATAAATTTATTTGCATAGCTACATTAAATAAATAAAAAATAGTCGCGTTGACGGTTAATGAAACAAATAATATATTTAGCTCTGAATTGTTTAATTTACCATAACCACAGTCATTCACATAGAAATCGTAATAAATATGAAATATTTATTTACCAGCCGAATCTTGTATCAGATGCGACCCCATGAGCTCCGAAATGGTTCACAAGAGGAGCACCAAAAGCACTGTGTGCAAGAGGAGTTCCATAAGAACCATAAGGACCATGTGGGCCAGGCAGACCAGCATATGCACCTCGAAGAGCATTGAAGTCTAATCCATGAGCATAGCTCAATGGATTCGCTTGAGCACCATACGCTGAGGGATTTACATGACCTCCGAAAGCTAAAGGATTTGAACCATAAGCCAAAGAATTGAAAGGAGCACGATGAGCTAAAGAATTACGGGCATTGTAGGCCAATGGGTTCACAGCAGGATTATGAGCCAGAGGAGACGCATGTGGTCCTGTATAAGCGAAAGGTGAATCGCTAGCTCCGTATCCCAAAGGACCAGTAAGTGGATTTCCAGGCTGCACTGGAGACGGTGGATGGACAGCGACGCCTTCTTTACGAACAACAGCATTAAATCCGGTTTGGGGATTTGCCGAATACTCGACCACGCGTTTGGTGCCATCAGATTCCAGAAGTGAATACTGGCCAACTACGCTGTCGCCGACGCGCCTCTCGTGTTGGTCTTTGACATCACCCGTGTTTGGATCTTTAACGCCATAGGAGAAATTTGAATGATCACCAGCATTGGCAACGCCACCGATAGCTCCACCGGCAATGCTACCACGAGCTTTATTACCAATTACCCCGCCAGCTCGTGCGGCGGCTACCATAACAGCGAGAACGATGAACTGAAAAAAAAATAAAACGAATTAACTACCGAATTTATTTATAGTAATTCTGTTTTCATCATTGTTTAACAACACCGCCTTATTAATATCATATACAACATATTATTTTGATAAACTCCCCAAACTTAAAATCGATCTTTGATTCGATATTTTATGTAAGTTACATTAATTTTGTTATAGCTAGATCAGATAGAGGAAATATCCGTTTACGGTACCTTTATAAGTTAACTCTAACTTAATAAATAAACAGTGACGAGGGTCTGTTCTTCCTTTTCTATATCACCCAATTACCGAGTTAAATCATGTCTATCTAACGTTTGTTGATATTCCCGTGACTTATAAAACATAATGCAGCGGTGGTTCATTTTTTACCAATTATTGTCTTTATGCTTTTGTCCAGCAATGGGTAGAAATAATTATGCGTGATAAAACAGAGTTAGCTTAACTTTAGGAATATTTAAAGTTACTTTAAAATATGGCATCAAATATATTGCATGAAAATTTACCTTAGCAGCCATTGCGTTGCTTGTAGACTTCTTCAGCTCCAACTTCAGAATGATTTAGTCCCAAAACAATGGAACATTTATATTCACCCAGTAAAAAAATTTGGGGGCAAAAGTGTAATATCTTACAATACATAGCTATGTTGAAACGTTCGTTTCAGAGATTAACTCTCATTAATAGACAAATGCTTAGGAATGGTTAATTACGTTGCATAATAATGACTTTTGTAAGAAAAATCATAATTAGATGATAGAGTTTTTTAGAAATATGTATTTTATGTGGTTAGTAGCAACATGATCTTGAAAATTTTGATAATGAAATCTGATTTACACGTATGTCGATTTTAATCTTTCACCGTCTTTCGTTTACTCCTGGCTGGTAAAATATTAAAAAAGAATTAGCTGTAAGTCCAATTTTTCCACACTCTAACTTTTTAAATTCCTTGTCAACCTTTGTTTTCTGTATATATATTATGTATGCCATGGATAGAAATGAATAGGGATAATAGAACACGCGGATACAATCAGAATTCGTGGCTGTTAACAATTGCAGATGATAATGGGATCAACGGCTTAACGTGCTTTCTAAAGCAAAGAGGAGATCGAGACAGAAAAATTTGGTCACCAATCTTTTTCGAAAGTTGCTTAGCTTCCGCACTACAAATCGAAGGCCCTATCCACTTCGCTATCGAGGACCTCACGTGTATTATCTTTTCTTTATTGAATCGTGTCAGCCTGTCTTAAATCCGTTTAATTAAAAATTATCAAACAAATGTTTCATTGCATGCATTAATTGCCAAGAAAGGTTTAAGTATTGGTATGAATGATTATTCCCACAAACCGCATTATTATTATTATTTAATTAAATTGACAAAACAAAAAATTCACTGCTTTGCCGACGCACGTCACCGAGTGTTACCGATGTCACACGAAATTTGACGAAGGCTTGTAGTTGCTATCCACTCGTGCTCTTAGGTTTGTACTTAATGAAAATGCTAGCCCAACTATTATTTTGATAATTTTAATCATATTAATATGGGACTCATGTAAGTGAATGTTAAATTCTTATGAGCTAAATAAAGATCTTAAACCACAAAATAAATACTAATACGCTACCTTATAATACTAATATCTATGTCTACCATATTTTGATTACAAAAATAGTTAGTAAATTTTATTCTTAATAAGATAATTCTAATATCTACATTCTATTCATCAAAACTTCTTATCGAGTCGATAAAAAAAAAGAATAATATTATTAGCCATCATTCATCTATTTAAAAATATAGGATATTTGTACTTTCTTTATAAGATCAATTTTCAATACATATTGGAAACAACACAGAACTTTATAGTTGATATTATTATCATTAATTCGGTTGCAGGTTTCGTAAGAAGGTATTATGGAACTCCATGAGGTCATAGATGTGGTCTGAAACTATTACTTACAAGTAGTGCGGTATCGTACAACAACGATTAGGAGTTAAGCCCATTCCGAATACCTAAAACGATTTTACGCTAAGTTACCCCTAACACAATCAGTAATAAATATAATAAAAATATAGTTGGAGTTAAGAAAGGAAGTTAATATCCGTGCTACAATTAATTTATTCATCGTAAAAATTATGTTTCCTTCATAAAAATGTTAATTACTAAAATTTTTGAATTAAACTTACTATATAAAGACCGATGAGTACATCACACGGTACAATTGCAGTGTTTACAGCAAACAATACAAAATGATCTCACAGGTAAATGCTTTCATATTTATTGTTATTACCAATACTTCTAAACCATCATATTAGGGGACTACTTCACGCAGATCCTCATAATTGGTTACATGGTCACCATTAAAGCTCTTTGTGGATCCTATTACAAAATGTTGTACTTACGATTGTAGTAAATCTATTCAATTTTTAATTTTTTTATCAGATTGCAGACAATAATCTACTATTTTCCAGATTAATCCAGTTGTCTTTTGAAATTAAAATTGGTAAATGTTTTTTCTAGATCGCAATTTTTGCCCTGGCTATTGCCATTGTACACGCATCCAGCGCTGACTACTCTAGCTTCTCGTACGGCGTCCACGACCCTCACACCGGCGACGTCAAAGATCAACGTGAAACACGAGTTGGAAGCAATGTGGTCGGTCAGTACTCGCTCCTGGAATCCGATGGAACCAAACGTATCGTAGATTACGAAGCAAACCCACATACTGGCTTCAATGCTGTCGTACGTAAACAAGGTTTGGCTGCCCATCCGGCTTCTTCGGTATACCGTGGGTATGCCGCTTCACCAGCAAACTACGTTAATGCCTACACACCCAGCGCTATCGTATATGCCCAGACTACGCCATATGCCCAAGCCTCACCATACGCCTCCTACGGTGGCTACGCCCATGGCTACAACAGTTTAGCATCGCCACTAGCCTACGGAGGATACAAAGGTCTTTCTACTGGATATGCCTATCGTGCTGGCTTAGGTTACGGAACCGAGCTTGGGTACGGTCTTGGTTGGTAGAACTCACGTATCTCATATTGTAATGACCTCAAGCTTGTCTTCGGAATACGATTCTAAATCAACTTCTTTTTGTTTCGATTACTTTTATATCAATCTTCATTGTGTTTTTAAGATGACATTTATTTGTGATTCTATGAATTCTATTTAATAATATGTTTCTTTATATGATCTACATATTTTAAAAAAAACATTTTTCATTGTAAATAAATATTTCTTTCACTAAATATAAAGGTTTCTTTTTATTTATATATAAATAACATTCTCGATAGAGATCGACATTATGTCGTTGTCGTTTGTTCTGAGTCAGAAATATGGCATGGTCATACGCCTACTATCATAATAACTATTTCCTTCGATAATAAACACCTATTACAAATGACAAAGTTCAAAACAAAAGCATTCAGACTTATAATTTTCTTTCGAGCTTTTTTATTTTCTCCTCGTACATCAAATTGCATAATTACAATTATTTCACTGCAATTTATGCCGTACTAAATGTCATATTATTTCAAGATACCTGTGCACAGTGAATATGATAAAAAAAATCTAACATAGTAAATGCAATCAAAATGTATCGACAATTTAAGGCTAACTGACATTGAATATATATCGGAATTATACAATTAAATATAAAAAATCTCGCACACCATGAAAAATCGAGATGACACAATTAATTTAATTCCCATCGTCAGTATCCTTTGACTTTTTTTATACCTGAAAGCTCTCTATTGTTTTATACAAAACTTGTGAATAAGAACAAGACATTTAGTCTTACAAATTTGCCGCAATAGTTAATGTACAAATTCAAAATCTAATCAATTTTATGGGCAACTTGACATTACATGGAAATGTAATGAGATTAACTAAAATACTTCCTACTCGGCAAGTTTAGACTCGCACAAAAAATACAACTTGATATCTATATACATAAAAATGTTACTATGCTCCACCCATTTAATTTTATTACTATTCAGAAGTTATGGCTATCCCAAAATCAAGTTCCTTTAGCACTAAATGTCATGCAGTATGTATTGATAAAACCATTCAAATTTAAGTAATTTTTTAAAATTCGTATTTATGACTACATAAGTATAATTAAAAAAATATGTGATCGCGTCAGTTAAGTAACAGAAATAAAAAGCAACTGTTTTTTCTATGGAAAAAGGTATAGTTAGTCTATAATCCATATCTAGATTATGATTATCGTAATTTTATTCATCAGGATCACCTTGAGGTCTGAATGTGGCGCACATCGCAATGTCTGTCTCGATACCGATCTAATTTGTATAATTTATATGTTCGCATGCGTAAGTATTTAATTAATCTTATCTAATTCAAACATTATTTTTATAAAACATGGAATGTGGAATGTCAATTAGAAAACACATTTAACAAGAAAATAAATTCTAATGAGTACTTATACGACTAAACTACTATTTATTATATATATAATAAAAATTATATAAAATATAAGAGTGATTATTTGTTGGGATTGCTACCATGTACCTTATATTTTCCTGATAATTTCCGATATTTCGGCGCCATGATCCTCGCATTGCAACAGCGTTTAAATATAAATCAAAACACGATTCAAGTATCAGTATGTCGACTGCTCTATACTCAATTGTCATGACACACCAATCCGCACCGGACTAGTTTACTATTTCATGCACCCTTCTCCCTATTCGATTTCATCGATAGGGACGGTTTGGATCGCATCAGTGGAGATGACGGAAAAATATAAAAGTTGACAAAAACAAACGCCTTCTTACTCTGTAGTTACCATGGAAGGAATTGTAGCGGTTCTTAGTTAGATTCAGCCTAAGATAAAAGCTATATTAAGTAACATCATATAATCGCTCAGATTCCAAGTAAAACACTTGAAGCATATGCGGTAAATATGAAACAGCGTTATGTCGAACCATTCATATTCAAAATAATAAAGTCAAATACTCTCCATGTTGACCGGCCAGGAATCAAACCCTGATAATACCTTAAAGATTCGTGTGCCTCATCAGCCACGAGGTCATCTCGTATAACATTTCTGGTCATTATACAAAGTTTCATTTCACGTACCTAAAGTCTAAATAGATAATGCATTAACAAGGCCAACGTCAGATGACTAACCATTGATCTAGACTGAATGTAAATAACAGGCTTATTTAGTACCTTTCCATACTTGTTTTAAAATATATTTTACATTAACATAAATTATCGCTTTGCTCAGACAAAGCTAATTCATTTAAATTAACAATTTTAATGCGTGCTAGAACTGTGAATCATTTTAATAAAGCTATCGTGCTAGTTTTTTTCACATTAAATTTTTAATTTAAAAATTTTATTAGCTCTTTCGAGCTTTATTATCGCTATAACAAGCAGCTTACGTGCTTTTCCAGGTATTGATCTATACATCTTTTTGCAAATGCAGTGCAATTTGGAGAACATGGTCAATTATTACTTACTGTAATAAGATATATATTAGAAATAAGGTAGTGTCTAACTAATTAATAACCTAATTAAGCCCACTGTTTGACTGCTGAAATATATCTAAATTACGTTATTCCATATTTACTGTTCAATTGATGCAGGAGTATGATGGAAACGTATTTTAATAGGCTTTATAGTTCTCCAATGACCTAAAACACTGGGTCCTTATATAAGGCGAAAGTTCTTGAATGATTAAGTTACGTAATCATGAAAAAGTGTCAATATTTAAATAAAATATTTTTTAGATAGATATATAAACTTATTATTTCTCACGTAGACAAAAGGTCATATTTCTTCTTACATACGAGTATATAGGCTATATATCTTATCGTTAAAAGCTCTTCCCAATAACCTGCATGTTAAAGGACACCTGACTTTTTTGGAAGTATGCCGACATTATTATTTTTATTATTATTACCACTCAGAATCAGGCCATTATTCATTTGTTACAATAAAAAAATATACAATCTACACAAAAACTATCCGCCCATTAAATTTGTATTTAAGACATCTATTTCACTCTCGCTCACAAAAGTAATTAAACTATTTAGAAGACAGGATAAAATTGTCCACAAACTGAAACAGCCATCTTATTCATATCGATGGAAACATTATGTTGTTGTCAAACCACTTGCATTTAAAAACTTTAGTTATTCGAATTCATTTGGTTATATTAACTTAATATAACAAATATATTGTGACGTCGACAGTACACCTGGATTAATTACTTTGAACTTTTCAAACGCAGAAAGCCCTATAATTTCTTCGTACCGAGGCGCACGCGGCCTTGCGCTTCCGGATATAATGATAGTTACAATTGACGTGTGCGCTTAAAGATCAACTAGTGTCCATGCCTTCAGCCACGCCTGCGCGTTCTTCACTCCTATATAAAGCTCGCGGCACGCTTCATCAGTACTCACTCTTCGAATTACCTCGAATCGAAACCCATCGCAATGGCAGCTAAGGTGATTATCGTGTGTGAAGTGTTGTGACAAAGTTCTATACCTATTATAGCTTCGCGATTCATTTCTAAGATATTTAAAGTAAATTAGATATTACAACGATCTCAATATGAAACCAGTACATCAAATGCTGTTTTTTGTATTTGCTTACTAAAGTAGTTATCGAGCAATTACTGTGTTTAATCTGACCAAGTGTTACTATTGACAATTTTCTTACCTTAAATAGCGATATTTAGTTCGTTTAAAATAAAGTACCATTTCTATCAAATGTACTAATACAACCATTTTGATAAATATACTATCCAGAGACCAGATTTGCATGCTTACTAATTTGTAAAATTAAAATATTTGAAGATAAACATTAGTAAGCCAAACATTCAATCCAACCCTTACTACAAAAATTATGAAGTTCGAACCTATATCGAAAACTTTAAATTTTAAATTGTAACTCAGGCCTACCTTGTTAAAATAATCTTTAACTTCTACTAGAAACATTTGTGATCGAGTTCATTCAATTTGTCGTGCTAGAGTGCTGAACTATTTGTTCTCTTTTCAGTTGGTTGTAGTGCTCGCCGCCTTCATGGCCGTAGCCCAGTGCTCGGTGGTGCCAGTGGCGCGAGCAGACGCTGACTACACGAGTTTCGCGTACGATGTAGCCGACCCCAACACCGGTGACTTCAAGAGTCAGGTGGAGACGCGCGTGGGTGGTGTGGTGCAGGGCCAGTATTCGCTCCTCGACGCTGACGGCACCAAACGTACAGTCGATTATGCCGCTGATGATGTCAACGGATTCAACGCAGTCGTTCGCAAGGATCCTGCTGTCGTCGCTGCTGCACCCGTAGTGGCCGCTCCCGCTATTGCCGCCCCCGCAGTGGTCGCTGCCCGCACTGTTGCCGCCCCCGTTGTAGCTGCCGCTCCCGCGGTAGTTGCCGCCCGCACTGTAGCTGCCGCCCCCGTTGTGGCTGCCCGCACTGTAGCTGCCGCTCCTACTGTCTATGCCGCGGCTCCCTCCGTCTACGCTGCCGCTGCCCCCTCCGTTTACGCTGCCGGTGTCCCCTCTGTGTACGCTACACGTGCTGTCGCTGCCCCTGCTGTCTACTCTGCCTCCGCTCCCGCTGTATACTCTGCGGCCACATATGGCGCTGCTCCAACTGTAGTAGCCGCACGCACAGTGGCCTCTCCTTACTACGCTGCCTACTCCGCCCCCGTCTCTTACTGGTAAACGAACGCCTTGTGTGAAGGCATACTAGTTTAACTGCGACGAGTTCAAATTTTGACATTGTAAATAGATACCAGATAATATTATTTGTACATTTATCTATGTATAAATTAAAGTCATATTTTTAATATATTTTCTGTTGTTTCCCTCCTACCTGACATGCAAAACGGAATATTAACTAAATATACGTATTTCTCTTTAGATTATTTAGTAATTTTAATTTATTTAACTAGATACTACAATTTACATTCATAGTAACAACCGACTAAAGTATTTATACACATTTACCTCGTACAGCAGGTGTCTGAGCGTATAAATTGCCTGGTCAAAATATATTTGTACATTAAATATGCTAATACTGTGTACAGTATTATCACATACATCCTGTAGCGACATCCTGTCGGTTAAAGAGACGCATTGAGAATTAGCGACATTTAAACGGAATCCTTGACGATTTTAATCTTTATAAGTATCCATAATAATTAGTTTGTCTAAGCTGAAATGGATTCATAATTTTTCAACCATCCATCATTATCTGAAAAGATTAATAAAAAATGGTAACATTATTTATAATCATTAAATTTTTATTTTAACAAAGACTCAAAACTCAAACTCTATGTGTAAATCAAACTTTATTTAATTTTTTTACATAAAACGAGTAACTCGCGTCTTCGCCTATGTAAATTAAAGACTAGAATCACCCATTCTAGATTTGCCAATGCATTGAATTGGCAAATCTAGAATGGGTGATTCTAGATTTGCAAACAAACACTCAAATCTTTCCTTTTTATTATATTCGTGTGGATAGCAATAAGATACTTATGTCTGATGAATTTGCCATTATGACTTACTTCTTACACTGCAGCGTTGAACTAGTTTTTAAGAAAACAAAAAGTAATTATGTCATTACCATAACATTAACATTTCCATATCTATTATAGAGATTCCTTTAAAAAAAACCCGACTACAGCTAAATTACGCTCCAAAAAGTTTGAAACAAGAAATTTATTTTATAGCGATAGCACTAATATTATAGCGATGCCCATAATACAGTGTAGTCGTATGCCACAACGGTTTGTTTTATTACGATCTGTAATGCAGCTGTCTCTTTAAAACAAATTTATTTTTTCAAATTGTTTAGAGCGTGATTTAGCTGTAGTCGGGTTTCAGTTTTTGACCTTATTTATTTTAAATTAATTCTCGAGTATATTTAAGCAAAATCGTAAGCATAAATAAAATAAACATATGTATATGATATTCGTAGATACATAATTAGTAGATTAGATAGTTAATAAAATACACAAGCTGAATCAGATTTAAAAGTAGGAATTCATTAAAAATATTTTTAGGTATATAATGTAACAAAAAATTTAAGGTAAGTATTCGCAGTATACGTTGCTTTGTACCAAAAATCAAGATTTAGAGTTCACGAGCCCTGTAGGTTTTGATTCCCTTACGAGCGAGATAAACGGCTGTACCTTTTAATTGCATTGATTTAAAATTTTGAGTTTTTACATCTCCAAGGAAAAGCAGACCTGAGTATTTGATATAAATTTCAGCTTGATACCTCTACGCGTTCCAGAAAAAAGGGGCCTTGACTGACGGAAGAACAATAAATGATGAAATGATAACTTTTTTTCTTTCGAGCTACGAAACCCTAAAACGGTTACCAAAAAAGAACAGTTACTACACAGTTGACAATAATTATTATTGTAAAAAAGGACATGTTCCGTGTCACAATACACCACGCTATAAAAATAACCTAATCCAAATTCCAAAAAAAGTAATTGAGTTAATCAAAAATGTATTATTGCCCATGGGATAAAATGTTAAAATTATAAAGTAATACCAGAATGTTGATCATCAAATTTGACATTATCTTTCCAGATATCAGATAAGTGAAAGAATTTATCTCCACGTGTCATGTCACATAATGCATTTGAAGTGCATGCACTAAAGCGTTCAAGATATTCGTGAGATATAAAATAATAAATAATTAAACGATAATTAATTAACTGTGTCGCGTAACTTGAAACATTGTTTACAAAATTGGATTATATTTTTTTTCATTGGGTTACCTGAAATTCTGGATATGATGATTAATTAACTTTACGTTGTTCATTAATATATTTTTTTTTCTAACGTGATTATTAACATTTGATTGAAACTAATTATCTTAACTACTTCTATCGAATTACAAATGAACATAGCCGCGCTAAATTTACAATGTAATAGAAATTGACAATTTCTTTTTGATTTTAAAAGATAATTAAATAAATAAAATAACTGAATGTGTGTGACTAGTGATGTGTAACATAAAACAAAACTTCAATTTAAGGTAGTTTCACTTTATTTCTAATTACATATCTACAAGGAACATTCGTGGGAGGGCTTTAAATATGTCTCGTTAGTAATATAGAGAGGGAAGGTAAGCGCGTGCGCCATAGATGGAAGGTGCAGTGTAGATAGAGGGAGCAGTGTAGACCGTGGGGGCAGCGTAAGTGCGAGCAGCTACGACAGCAGGATCCTTGTGAACGACAGCGTTGAATCCATTGATATCGTCAGCAGCATAATCTACGGTGCGCTTGGTGCCGTCGGCGTCGAGTAGTGAGTACTGACCCTTCACTAGGCCGCCGACGCGCGTCTCCACTTGATTCTGGAAGTTACCCGTGTACGGGTCAGCGACGCCGTAAGCGAAGCTCGTGGCGTCTGTACGCAATAGTGGTACCACTGCACAATGCGCTACGGCCACGAAGGCAGCTAGCACAATAACCAACTAGAAAAAAAAACCGATTATATTTTTTATAAAACGGCCCACAGAGAAATGAGATAAGTTTTACTTTATCTAATCAAACTATAAAATATTCCCTTTGTGAATTTACATTGAAAGTCTATAACATCAAAAGGATATGGGGTACCAATTTTTCGCATTAAGATTTTGTATGTGATAACATTAGAAAATTCATTTTACGAAATAAATAATGGATCATCCAAAGACCAGCCTAAACTTTGGTAAATATCACTCGAAGATTGATGAACGACGAGCAAATATTTTGCTTTATATACTTATTGGTTTATCAAATGTTAAACTAATAGGTTACCTATACGATTTAATACAAAATCTTGAGTGATTTAAAATAAGCCAAATTGGGTGACGTTCATATGCTGTTTCTATAATAATATCTTATGACTCTTTGCAGTCATGTTTTTATAATAAACCGCAGCTTTTTTAATTTGAATTAAATATCAAAATTAGTAATATTACAGTAATAGTATGCCAACCACGTCTTACTATAGAAATTCTGATTGTAATGAAAACTATTTATAAAAGAAAACACTTTTATGAAAAAAAATCAAGACGCGTGCGCCCTGTTGATATAGTTACAAAAAAAAATCTCACCTTAGCTACCATTTTGTTAGTAGGTATAGGAATAATAGTCGAAGAATGAATGTTTGCAATGTAGGAAGTTGTTGTACCTTATATAGTAACGAATATTCTTAATGATCAACTGATACTTAGCGGTCACTTGACGAACTTGAAAATGGCGCTGCACTCATTGTTTTGATATGTAATAAATCATGTGCGACTTTACATTCGACCTTATTACAACGCAATAAAGATGTAAACAATACAAAAGAAGAGGACGCTCACGTGCACGCGGAACCCGTGGCTAATGGATATTACAATCATAATATAAGTTTTTGGGGAATATAAAATAGATTAACTAGATCTGATACTATCTTTATATTTGATCAATAGTATGGCGGCGAAATTTGGATAATTCGTAACAAAAGTACAATGAGGAAGTATTTTAATAAAAAACAAAAACACTAAGAAGCACTCCACTAGATGGCCACTCTACCAAAAGTGTTTTTATGCAGGAAACGAATTGACCAAAGAAAGTTATTTCTGTTCCTTTTAACTAACATATTAAAAAACTGTAATTTGCAATGTTCGAAACTTCGGTATCAATACAAATACGAAATAGTACAAATAGAATATGAGTTGTTTATTGAGTTTTGAAAACTAATTACTTTTATACATGAAAGAAAACCGGAAAGGTTGTCATGGAGAAATAAGAAAGTATCGAAGCAACATCTAGTTTGATTGCGGGAACTAATGTTTTTTTTTTTTTTTAAATTTCCTCATTGTATAACATGCTATGTGAAGCCAAAACTAGTACATAATTGTATAATAGTACAGAAATAAAATATTAATAATAATATGTAGTAATGACCAAGTCATTTCTAATGGTTGCGAAAATTACCTGAGCAATAAAGATAAAATCAATAAAATAGTAGTTCGTTTTTTGTAATAACACTTCGATTGTCGAACCACAAAGAATATGTAGAAGCATGTCTAATTAATTTTAAATTAATTGTGTAAGTGATAATCTGCAAGGCATTTATAGCAACGATGTCGCCTACGTGTTAGTAACTAAATAAAATCATAAATGGCTTAAATGCTTCAATGTTATTGTAATCTAATCAATAAATCTTACGTTTTTTTTAAGGTGAGGAGTTTTTTAAATAGTCTACGACATTATAAGATCCTTTTCCTCAAGGATATAAATAATGGCTCACATTTAAAAAGTACTTTATAAATGTGAGACATATTAATACCGACAACGATGACATTTAAAAAGCAACAACTGCAGTAAAGAAACCAGTAAAGGACATGCAACCAGTAAACGTAACAATAACTTTTACACAATTGACAAAGCACCAAAAATATTCACAGATATTATAATACTTTACTAGATATGGGATATTTTGAAATCATTATATGGACACAAAATCCGGTAGAAGGTCTTAACAATCAGGCTACGAGGGTCAAACTGAAAGTTCTTAGAAAATCAAAAACTGATTACATTAGCCAGTTATTAGTTTTATTATATCTTTTCAAAATATTGTCCATTCACGTCAATACACCGCTGCATGCGATGGAACCACTGGGAAAAGCACTTTGCCCACTCGTCCTTAGGGGTCTCTTCAATGGCATCGCGATACGCAGCCACCGCTTCTTCAGCATTCATAAACCGCTTTCCTTTAAGTTTTTCTTTAATTTTTGGAAATAAATAAAAATCAGAAGGCGCGAGGTCGGGGCTATACGGCGGGTGACCCAGTAATTCAACGTTTGATGTCGCCAAATAGTCGATCGTTCGCTTGGCGGTGTGCGACGAGGCGTTGTCGTGGTGAAGGAGGATCCTACTGCGAGGTCGTTTCTCTCGAACTTTTTCCAAGACAAGTGGCAAACAATTGGTAGTGTACCATTCTGCAGAAACTGTTTTTTGATCCTCTAACACAATTGTTGCAAAATGACCTATCCTTCCAAAGAACGAGGCCACCATTTTTTTTCCCGCACTTCGATCTCTCTTCACTTTAGTTGGCAACTCCTCGAAAGGAAACACCCACTGAGCAGATTGTCTTTTGGTTTTAGGATCATAACAGTAAATCCAGCTTTCGTCACCTGTTAGTATGTCGAACACAGCATTTGAGTCACCTCCGTTAAATCTTTCAATCATTTTACGACACCAATCCACACGATGGAGTTTTTGAGCCTCAGTCAAATTATGAGGTATCCACCGGGCGCAAAGCTTCCTGACCGCTAAATGTTCGTGGAGGATTTTGTGCACTTGACTCATACCGATGCCTAAGCTTGTCCGAATCTGTTGATAGGTCACTCTTTTGTCAGTCTCTATCATACGCCGCACAACACAGATGTTATCTTCAGTCGTCGCCGTAGAAGGCCGTCCCTCACGTAAATCATCAGTGAGATTAGTGCGACCACGTTTAAACTCATTAAACCAGTTGTAAACAGTCGCACGAGATGGGGCTTCATCGTGAAAGGCCAATCGTAGTCTATCATAACTTTCTTGTTGACTTAAATGACATCGAAAGTCATAAAAAATCATTGCACGAAAATTTTCTCGTGTTAAATTCATGATGACGTGACACAGACAATTTTCAATTTGCCGCCAAATCGTAAAACAAATGACAAATGAATGAAATATATACTCAGTAATATTGGCAAAGAGTTATATTTTCAAATTTTAGAATTATTTTTTTATTATATTGTTTATAAGTGGCCAGTTCTAAGAACTTTCAGTTTGACCCTCGTACAAGAGATAAAAGCAGGACACTACACTCCTCGATATTATCATAGTATTAGACACACGACCACAAGGCCACTATCGAAACTGGGACGGAATTCCAGAGACGAGCATCTTGGACGGTAAACGAGGAACCAAAACAGGAACTGCAATGAGATAGAATCTCAACAGTCAGGTTCTCTGAATATAGCATTGCATATGATTATGTAATCTATACTAATATTAAGGGCGTTTGGGATATTTTAAAATATATAGTAGAATACAAAAAAGTAAGGTAAGTACAAAAAAATTATACTATATTTTTCAAAATAACATTACTTTTTAGAGAGGAAAAGGTCGGCTTCTACTGGCAACACTAATTGTCGATTACACAACGGGCATCATTACCTATAGTTAACTGACACTTATTTTATCAGTTTCGTGCCACCATGGTTCTGGGTTGTGTAACATTGTAACTTTAAATATAATAATTTAATAGTAAAATGTTCTTATTAATAAACACGTAAGTACATAACTATACTCCATTCATTATAGCATTAGACAAAGGTAAAATAAGGTTCTTTTTATGGTATACTTTGTGACAAAATATCAATAATCATGTTACTCTTAAGACTGACGACTAATTTGCTACATATTCACTTAAATACCAGTTGCTATACTTAACTGTTATCATTTAAGCTATCTATTAAACAAATTTATGAGTATTTGATTAATTTAAATGATTTAATAACTATTACAATAAAAAGTGTTCATCTTAAAGAACCTAAAGAAACAGGGTTTGATAGTTTCGGCACGATTCTCATGTCACTATAATTCTACCAAATTTAAAACGTCGCCTAATCCCTTCAAACATTTCGGCAGTACAGTTTTTTAATTTTGTCAGACTATGATGTATTCATAATTGTCAAAATACGTAATCTGGGATTGTCATCCATCATGAATGCTACTGCCTTTCTTGTTGTTTTACCGTTTCCCGTGATTAAGTTGTTATTGTTTTATTTTTGTTGTTAAGTTTTATTAAATGTTGCCGATGCCAGTGCAGGCCCGCGTAGCCTACAACAATTACGCTCTAAGCATATACCTACCCTTTGACATTTCAAGAAGTTTTTCCAATATCTTCATCAATAGTCTAATGTCTGAATAAATGTTATAAAAGTAATAATAAAAATTTAATTTTGTTTACCATACTTTACTGGGCATTCTATTCTAATTATAATCAAATCAACAGATAGATAGCTTTAGTTCCATGTTGGCTTGGGAGTTAAAGATGAATTTAGAAAATGCTGACCTCATCTCAAACCTAAGGTATTGTAAAAATTAGAAAATTGCACAGCTCTTTCAGACTCCCTAACGTTCAAAGTTTCAACAAAACTATAATAGTTATATATTTTTAAAGTTTGTCTTGAAAATAAAATGTTCTGCACTGCTGCTTCTATGATCCTCTTTTTTTCTAATGTTATAATGAATGGAGTATACAAGTAATGAAATGATTTTTTTTAATCATTTGGCACTGCTTGAAAATAATAATGCTGCTTTTAATTTGATTAAAAGGTATATTACCTTTTAATCAAATTAAAAGCCTACAAATTTCAGTGAACCACGAATTTATATAAGCAAAATAGCTACAAAGTGAAGAATAACGTTTATATTTATGAATTATTTTGAAGTTGTCTTAATTATTTAAAAAAAGAATGAATTACTTCGTCTGTTACCATTTTTTTAAAGGTTAACGTATACAAAAAAATCCTTGGAAAATAAACTACGCTATTTTCTAATTATTTTGACATTAAAACAAAAGAGCTGGCCTGATTCCGATAAAATGGACCCACATCAAAAGTATGAGTTTTCTATTAAGAAATAAAATAGAATCAGCCTACAATTCGTGTAAAATCGGTGAAAATACATACACCGAACCATAGACCCACCTGCTTTTTAAATGTTGAGTGGCATTGCATTGCCGACCTGCAAGAAGCACCTTGCAGGTCGGCAAGGTGAGGTTGGCTAGTGCAGTACCTACGTACTGTTTTCACTAGCTGTCCTCACGTTTGGACTACGCCTCCGCTTACCATCAGGTGGAGCGCAGTAATTTGCCCTCCATTTTATATTAAAAAAAAAATCTCTAATAACATAACGAAAAAGTTTATTTTGTTTATTTTTTAAATAACACCACTTCATTTTCGTGTAACAGAATTGAAGCAGATCTTTAAATAAGATCTTTGATATTTAAATATCACTCATTTGCATACAATAGATGTTGACAACAAATGGACACATTGTAAATAGGTGCTTTATGTACTTGTCTTATAGACATGATCTACCAAAATCAGTGTCAATTTATTTTGTCATATCTTATTGTATCAATATTTATTAGATATAGAAATTTCAGAAATTTATATAAATTTCAACGATCTAAAACAATTAAAACAAATCTAAATCGCCATTGTACATTTGTGCAAGAAGGAAAAAACAAATAAAATTTGATTAAAATATTAAGATATAAAAGTATTTGTTTCCGCTTTATGTGAACTACCTGAACATGTGAACATTTATTAAAATACCCTCATTAGTAGCGAAAGTAACAAGTGCCTAAGAAATTCATCAATCCTGATGATGATACTCCTGCTATTTCTCGTTTTCCCACACCCAACCATTTAATAATAATATAAAAACTTTGTGTAATCTGTTTTTAATTTAGATTTGATTTAAGATTTTTATTTACCAATAAAGCAATTCATAAGAAGTTGTAGCTTTGCATTACAAAATTGCACTCTGTGAGATTAGGTATTTGAAGCTTCCAACCAACTTGTCACGAGTTCACAATACTAAACCACTACCAAGCTATTTTGTTACTTTTTCCCAACTTTTGTATATTTTTATGTGGTATATGGGGTAATCACCCCATATACCACTATCGCCATTCCCGCACATTTTTACACGACTGCAACAGAGGAGTGTTTTGTGTCAAGATTAAATTATATTTTTCCACACTAACTTTTGAAAGACTCAACGGATATGCATGTACCTATAGGGTATCGTTACGTCATCATGAGTGACACTGACTCTATTTTTTAAATATTTAATTCTTGAATACATAATTAATTACCACACCAGCCACACCAGCCTTTTTACGTCCCCACTGCAGGGGCTCAGGCCTTCCTTATGGATGGTTAAGGAGGATGGTCCATGACCCTCCACGCTGGCCCAATGCGGATTGGAGGGTATTAACGACTGCAAATGCAGCCGGGACCAACGGCTTAACGTGCCTTCCGAAGCACGGTGTAGCTCGAGATAATAATTTTTTGGTCACCCATCCCGTGACCGACCCTTGCGAAAGTTGCTTAACGACTACGATCGCGGGCCGCGGCGCTTATCTACTACGCCACCGAGCTACAAATAATTAATTAACTGCTCACAAAAGAAATAATACATAATTGAAATAACAAAATAAATTTATTCCTATAAATTATAAAATCTTTAGTCATTATTCCGGTACAAATTTTATTGAAAAACATTATCTTAGATAGGAGAAATTCGTAGTTAATTTTTAACAATATCTGAAGAATTTTGGTTCATAATAAGTTTATTTTTTGTATATTCAATGCTATCTCAACATTTTGAGGCCGCTACGAACTATGCGATTATACCTCTATATGAGATATCTGTTTTTTTGTTTTATTTATTTAGAGCAGTAGCTCAATCCAGGCGCTTAAAAAAATACCTTCGCGCATTTCATGAAAATCTTTCTCTGCTATTTTGGGTTTAACTAAAATATAAAGATAAGCAATTTTTTAAAACTCAACGTTCACCCATCCTGGACTCAATGTTCACCCATAAGTGTGGAGCGGCCATTAGAGATTTTTTTAAAGTTACAAAAATGATAAATTAAAATGAAACAACACGCTTATTTTAGCAACATTTTTTTATTAATTTAAGAATTCCATAATGGAACAAATTTCTTCAATAGTGATCTAGACCTAAATCAGGTTTTAGTTAATATGTGTCGTGGATGAGAGCTGTATGCTTGAGATAGGTAGGTACTGCACAAGATTCAATGGACAGTAAGAGACCTGTACATATTTATAATTATTTTGTACAATAAAATCATTTCAGCATCTCTACCAGCAACCATGATGCGTGTCGTCTACGTTTGGATACAGAAAATACTTTGAACATATTCGTATACTTTAATGTTTGTATTGAAGTCATAATTTTATTTATAAACTCATTAGATGATGCTAACAACACCGATTTTTTAAATTATATCCGGTCTTAAATAAATAATCTCAGCAAAATGTGATTGCTCAACAAAACAGGCAGGCGTTAAAATTTTACGTAAATGTATATTTTGGGTAAGGAATGCTAAATTTTGTATCCAAACATAGCTCAGACCAGATTTATACTACCAGAAAATTTCTACCATGTTTTACCACGTTTAGTTAACCCGGAAAACTGCGCTTTTGTGTAGATAGGCACATTTAAAACACGTCCAGCTATTTTCTGGTAGCGAGACTGCTGCCAACACCTGAAGCCACTACATTCATCACATTATCAACAAAATACGCCAAAATAATTACTCACTAAAAAAATTCGCTAATCATAGGTAAATTATTACCATTACAATAATTTGCACAAATTAATTTACTAAATATTCTGGGCATGAGACACGGTCCCTCGTCTATAATTCGTTCGAAGGCCTTTTAGTCCACCATGGAGGCCTTCCTGAGGCCGTGGCCCACAAAAACAAAGCCGCACGTGGTCAAACCATTTGCCGAACATTTCCCAGTACATTCCCTTAGGAAACTAATCGCACGCCATTTCCTTTATACCGTAAATTTATATACATTCAACCCGCGTCATTCGTACAGTTTCTACTAATGCTATAACATTATACAAAAAAAGGAAATTATACAAATACAACTAATAAAATATCTAATGTAAAATCACATGTAGTGCTATTCTTACTGTTAAGGAATTATACTTCTTCCATATATATAAAAAGTCGCTTAAAAAATCACAGACAATCACTTTCCATTTACAGACATAGACCACCGACGACCGATTACTTTCTTATAAAGCATTACCTTGCTACGTACAAAACCCTATACAATTAGTTTTACAACCATGCTGGTTTATACAATCATATACATTCTTTTATCTTTGTTATAAGCTTGCACTAACGTGACTAGCGCTTACGTGTACCTGGCCATCGAAACATCACGCAACGAATTCCAGAAAAATAAATGAAAAGAAAAGGAAATAAAATAGGTCTCTCTCTATACTGTAAAGAATCCGAACCCTTTACAGGCTCCGAGCAGGTACGTTGGCGCGCAAAATTTTAAATCAAAACTCGCAGTCGCAAAGAGTATCTTTATATATGTACAGCAAATATTACAACCTAAAAGATTCCGTAACCCATCATGAGGACCGCCCAAGAAGCTGGTTGCCGTACAAAAAAAAATATAAATTTCAAATGCTCACCTAATTTTGTACTCTCCTTGAATAACTTACGCTAAATAAAAATATTATCAGTATTTTGTCAATCAAACGGCCGAAAATACAAATTTTGGCAACACGTACATAAAAACCATAGATTTTTCTTCGCGTTTCTCTTTTCATTTAAATAATTTGTACTGGCAGTAACCCTTTAAGACTTTAGAAATTTGTACTTTAGTTCTTGTATAGTGCTCGTTGTTTTCTTTTTGAATAAAAACATTATATAATAAATATTAATCTTTTTTTTTTCATTAAGTGTTTTTACTACGTTAGTTTCGTATTTGTGTAGATAACATTTACACCAAGATGACACCAAGACATTATTTAAGTGACATCGAGATTTACCCCATTCGAACTTAACGATTTGAGGTTAAATATTTTTTAAATTTAATATGAAACAATGTTGTATTTACAGCCATGAAATGACCATATATTAGCGGACAAACACCCTGACTACCTTGAAACATCGAATATATTTTAATGCCTACGTTAATCTTTCGATAGCTCAATCCAGTTAAATTAAAACCGCCATAAAAGAGTCTTATGTTATGAACATAATTACTTGTAAATTGTGTATTGTTATTTTATTTGCCATTTATACACCAATTAGACTATTAATATGATTTCTTAAATATTAAACAAGTTGACAGTTTATTAACTATGAAATTTGTAGAATTATTTTGTAAATTACGCAATGTTACGTACATAACCATACATTGCTGTCTAATAATAACGATGTTTGGTTTTTTGTTACATAGAAAACTATCTTATTTGCACTAATGTTTCATGTACATTGTACTCTTGTCCAAGTGGAGGTTTTAATTAAACTAGAAATGCTGCCATTACCTGTCGCCAATCCTAGTTTGTGAAATTATTCTACTGAATCAGGAAGTGAGCATAAAAATTACCATCCTTTATAATTACTTACATAACATTAAACGCGAGAGAACATTTAATTTTTTTTTTCATTATCAAATTCGTAAAGGTGAACCCATACGGAATTCATTTCTAGTGCAATCTTAAAATATAAAAACATCCATTGATTACTTAAATATTTCCTGTCCAGTTAAGTGCAACTATGTTATGTATATTAGGTACTTAAATGTCAATTCCTTAAATAATGTTCTTAAATATTTAATAATAAATATTAAACTCGATGGACGGGTGTAACTTGTCAAAGACAGGAAAAAAAAATAATTAGTAAAACTCAAAAAGAGAGTGTGGGTGGAAAGGAAACAAAAAGAAACGAAAAAAAATAAAAGGTTTTGTTACATTTTTTAATTTTTTAAACCTAACAAACAATAATTTTCAATTTTTCATCTCCTTAAAACATAGTAACATCTATGAAACACAAAAAATAACTGGGATAAGGTAATGAAAGTAATATTACAAATAAAAATGGATTTTTTTATACTCCGTGGAGTGAAGGTACATCTAGATTACGAAGAGTAAGACTTGTGGCCGATCTCCAAACTTATTTTGCTTACAAAATGAGGTACATTGATGAGATTATTAACGTCTAACCTAATAACACTTACTTACTAAATATTAATTAGAAGTTGTCAACTGGGACTGCTCTCGATATGGCAAATAACTAATCACCAAAATGTATTCCAATTAGCGATTACCACATTGAGAGCATTGTCTACCTTACAGAGATTCAAATGTATTATTTGTTCTTTTTTATTTAAATATAGAAAAGTGTCACCGGAACTTATTTACAGTAGACACAGTTTCGTCAAAAATAATGTTTACTTTAATCGAAATATACCAATAAAATATTGAAAATCTTTAAAAGTTTATTATGAAAGATATCAGTATTTAATAACATTCTAAAAGTGTGTGATTTACAATAAATATACAAAGTATTTAATTATCAAAACATTTCATAATCATATCTGTGCTACTGAGTTAAAAATTTTAAGAGCGACTAAAATTGAATCCTGAGGTAGAGTATATTTTGTACTTTTATTTTTTTTTTCTCAATTTCCCTTAGAACTTGTTATTTTATTTCTCCATACAAAAAAAAACTTACATACAATTTTATCGCTAAGTTATAATCCTCGAGGTAGATAAGCCTAAACTAAGAGGCTGCGCACGAGTTTACGTTCAATCGATGTCATATACAAAACGCCCAAATGTTCGACCAGCGATTTATTTAATAATTTTGTAAATAGATTGAACGTAAAATCTTTGCACGGCCCGTGTGACGGCAGAGGGTCACCATACCCGTAACAATCTTTGGCTTTACCATCACGACATATCGCGATTTATATATACAAATAAACATAATTATAAACTAACTCTAACACAAAACAGCTTAACAACAACACACCCGCACGGGACCAAAATCCAACGACAATTAAAATAAAGGGGAGACAAATAATTAAATTTAACTTTTCATAAATTCTGACTTCATCCAACATTACAGTGTATTCTCAAAAATAATAATAAATTAGCCGTCCGCTATATATATTGTTTTATCAACATTATTATGTTAGCTAAGAAAATGTAATGTAAAGTTGGATCAAAATATTATTGGAAACCTGACGTCCACGTCCACAACCATCGCTCATCAATCACCGTTTTCGAATACAGAATTACAGCAAAAATAAATGGAGACCGGCCAAAGTCACCGGAGGTTGCGAAACACCGACTTAATGCGATAATGATCACATATCGACAGAGCATTTACAACTATATCAAAAAACGCTAACATGTTTACTAATTAGTAATAACAATAAAACTTAATTAAGACATGTTAGCGACATCTCAATCGCGGAATATTGTACACTGGGTCACATTTAGCTTTAGAAACCAACTAAGAATTGACATTGTGTAATGTAATCGAGACATTGTACCTATTTTTAATTTAACTCAAAAGCATATCCACTTGATTCCATGATCGCTTGTGCTACCGTGATGGTTTTACCACTCTCGCTATTTAAAATTATGCCCATCGATAAACTTAACCGTATTGAAAAAAACTAAAAAAAAAGATTTAAAAACCTGTTGCATTAATGCAATTTTCTTTTACGTATCACAAAAAACATTAAATGTCGAAAAGAAATCACAACTATGAATTTATAATTCATAAGAAAATATATATAATAATAAAAACAAAAGGCCAAAAATAGAACAATATTTGTTTTTCTTTTTCGAATAATTAATAAAACATAATGTTTAACAATTTTTAATTAATTGAAATAGCAAAACGTTTTTGTCTTAACAATAGTACACTTACCGAAAGAATTCCAATAATAATGAAAAACAACATTTTTTCCATAATAATTGTTACAGACTCAGTCGTATTATGTGAATGATGGTTTAATATAACATCCTTTCCAAATCCTTTCCAACTAGCTACAAGGCACCTAGTTGTTTTATGCGACCTTACCACAGAGGTAACACACTTTAACTTTATATCAAAAATCCAGCGCTTACAGTTGGAATATCACCCCCATTTCGAAATCAAATAAACAATATCGAACCCTGAAGTTACAACGGTGAAATCTGTACATATAAATAAAATATTTTTGGTAATAATTAGTGTTAAAACTAAATTTCATCCAAAAAGCCCAAATAAAAATGAATAGTTTCACGTTTTTGATGTAATTTTGCGGAGTCGATTGTTGACGACTGAATACAGGTAAAACAGCCAAATTGAAGCTTATTAATAATAAAAACATAACTGAAATGTATTTTTATATATGTATAAAGAAAACGAAAGTTAACAAATGATAAATATTACACGTACTTTTTTAAAAACACAGCAATATAGCCCATATTTATTCCAATTTTAAGGAAAACTTCGCGTAACCCTTTGCGTCCAGATTCAACAAAAAGCATTACAGATTTACTCCTAACAAAATTTACTGTGGATAGAGATTATATTTAAAAATATATCAATTCATTGTATAAAATATTATAGTTTAAAATAGCATGCTTAGTCGATACTAAATATAATATGAAATCTTGTCGATATAGGTACTCCAATATAGCTTCTATTCGGTATATTGACAGGATAGGAATTGCGTTTCATAATCACAATTAATAAAACGAGTAAAAGCCTTTAACCATTAAAAGATAACTAAAACGCTGCCTTCTAATTGGTACGAGTAACAAAAATGTATTAGCATTAAAAAAAGTCACTGAGCCTTCATAAAGCATTTATCATAAAATATATTCAATAATGTGTATCCTAAAATATAAATATAATAATAAATATGAATGCAACCTATTCCTAAATATCAGGAATATAACACGCAGTCGCTACATTCACACTTAACAAAATAAAGAAAATAAAAAATAAAATAAATAAAAGATGTGAACTTAAACTTGAGGTTATTTGGCACTGTCCCATCTGGATGTTGATAACTCGGACCGTCAATGAGACCGTCAACTGCTAGAGCGCGGGAGCAGCGGCAGGCGCTGACTCCAACATATAATACTTGCACCTCACCGCCCCCGACCGCATAAAAATTATTATTTCTCTTTAAAATCTCAACTGGTTGCACTTTAATGACTAGGAATATAAAAGTAGCAAGTGGTCTTTATCTAAATGCACTAAGACGAAACAAAACATCGTAACGGAATGTTAAAATCGACACCATCCCAATGAAACATATAATATTTGGTCTCAATCATAACACCCGCGAGCGAGCCTGGTACGAACAAATGAAATTGATTGTTAACACCATTCATGCATCGAATCTTACATGCAAATTTTTAATAACACTTTTTTTTTACCTAACTACTTATGTATCTAGGGCAAATTGTACTTTGTACAAAACTAAAATCGTTCAAATTCATCAACTGTACAGTAAAAAACTGCAGAAACCCGTACAATGGTGTTTCCCCACACTTTATCCCCTTTCGATTTTAAAACGACAATGTGGCAAAATTATATAAAATTAGGTATTTAAAACATAATAGCGATTAAGTATAAGCCCGTTCTCCTATTGTATCACAGTTGTGTTCGAATATGCAACTTAAATTGGTATTATAAACTATTGTAGTTACCAGTATAGAAAATGAATTAAAAATTAAAACGATATAGATAATAATAATGTAATTGAGGTAGTTTTGCCACAGTGTAACTTTAACGCGTGTCTCAACCTAGGCCAAGGCGATTTACAATATTCTCCTATTATTTACATACACTTAGCCTATGACCGTCAGTCTCAACATCTTTCTAAGATTCCCTAGCTCAGGTAATATAATTTAAGCTATGTCATACTCCACCGAGAGCTCAAAATAAATCGTCTATAAAGGTAACTATATTTCACAGTCAACTGGACATACGTATATTACTAAAGTTTGCAAAAAATTAAGGTACGTGTAACTTAATGGGTGCAAACGTTAGGTACAATATTTTTAAAACACGGTACCCGATAGAAACGAGAACTGAGCAACCATTCGAAGTCACACTTGAACATTAAATTAAGTAACAATTATCGCACAATTCCAAAACCTTAAAAAATCTTAAGATCAATTTTTGAGGTAGATTATGATTACATAATATGCAAAGACGAGGTAATTTATTGTACGCATGTTACAGAAAGACACCGGTCGGGCGACCGTTAATAAATAACACAATCCGGAAACCGACTAACAGAACTGTGTTCCACCGTCAAATAGCCGAAGAACATTCGACGACGGAACGCCGCCGTAATAGAGGGAGAGGTCGCCCGCCGGCGAAAAAGAGCAGAGGTAGTTTGGTTGAGAATAAAACCGAGAAGTGTTTTCGTAGGCTTCTTACTGAGTGTGGTTGGGGAGTGGACCTTGGGGGAGGTGGGGCGTGACCTGGTGGCGGTGCTCGCGGGCGATGTGGCGCCGCACCGTGTTGTTGCGTGTGAATGTGCGCGAACAGTGCGGACACGGCACTCGGATGCCCTGGTGCCGTTGCCTGATGTGAGCTCTCAAGTTCGTCTCGTAGCCGTAAAGTCTCTCGCAATATGGACACTTTAATTTTTTACCTGAAACGCCGTGCAAAACAAATTTTAAGCACATCACTCATAAATTACTTATAATTGAATAAGGATACGAAAAAGATATTTAATAAAAAAGTTCGAATTAGCACTATCTCACCATCAGCGGTAGCTATGCCACCAGATTTGCTCGTGATCATAGGCTTGGGAGGCCAAACGTCAGGACTGGGTTTCGGTGGCACAGGTGACGTGGCGTTCGGCTTGTCGTGGTAGTTGGCTGGCGGTATCGTGGTCGGTGGCGGCGGTGAATTGTTGTAGCCACCCTGATGGTAGTCGCTTTCATTTTTCACCCGTAAATCTGTAATTAGAATCAATCGTTGTTATGAAATGAACCACAAGCTTTTTAGCATTGTTGGTAACACAGTTTATAGTTATAACTAATAATTACTCTTATAGAGAGGAATAAAAAAAGTCAATGTTTGTTTTTCATTTCAAGTTAATTAAGTAATAGCCAAAATAAAACATGGGGAAATAAACATGGTTCGGTATTCTACCAACCTTCAGCACCTTGATCATTGGAAAGACGTTCCATCATTTCATCGTTGACGGAGGCACTTCTTTCATAGCCGTTGTTCTTAATAGGGTTTCCGAGTGTCGATGTGCAGTCCGGTGGATTGTCCTCATACCGTTGGCTGGCGCCTGGAGATGATCGAGTATCAGGCTCATCTGCTACACTGCCACAGTGCGAGGACGATGAACTTTGCCTGGAATCATAAAAAGACATTTTTTGCAAAACTTTTTTATTTCGAATGGCTTTCTCTTTCTATAAAGTATCAAATTCGATGCAAAAAAATCAACTTCTATCTATTGTCTCAGATTCAATTAATCTTGTCGTAATGGTAACGTCATTATTTCCAATACTAAGTTCAATATATTCAAGCTATAGCGTGTTTTATAAGCAATTGAGGAACATGAAGTCGAAAACCTTAACAATATTTAGTTCTAGCTAATCAACTCTCGAGAATATTAAACACTGCATAAACTTCTCACGCATGTAATTACTAAAGCTGTCACGCAAGTGTTAAGTTCAATATACTGAAATATATTTCATTATAAGCTTTAACTTAAATAGGTAAACAAGTTATTAAACATTTAAGTTAATATATCTATAAAATAAATATATTTATCTATTATTTACCTGTAATTCCTAGCGTGGGGACTCTGTGATGGAGATGGCTTAGGTGGCGCTGGTCGACGATGAGAAGTCGAATGCAGCGGTACGTGAGCTGGTGGAGCATACCGACCCATGGTGCCGCTGGTGCCGTGCATATGTAAACCATATTGAGGCATCGGGGCGAACGTGGCCGTATGAGGTTGTGGTGGGGCAGACTCTTGAACTTCGCAATTCCCAGAACCAGACACCGGGCTAGTCTTTATGCGTGTCTGATGACGGTCGCCGGACTGCTGTGCCTGTTGCTTCACCCAAGCATCTTTTGACATCTCCATTGATAGACCCTTAACCTGAAAGATTGGAAATTGTTGCATGTAACTAAAAAGTAGTACATTACAAAAGCGTTAACTTCAATGTTTATCGCATGTAAAAATAAATAGTTGAGCGGTAATATTTACCTGTAAGTTTTCCCCGCTCTTCAGAAAGCTAGAGAGAGCATCCTGACTGACATGCACCTCTCCTTTGTACATGAACTCGAGGAGTGCCTGCATGTTATCCGCCGTTGTAGCTTCCAGAATGACGTAGCAGGCGCCTGCATGACTCGGCGGCGCCGTGTCGAACAACTCTTGGAAATGCTTGCTGCAAGCAGCGAGGATCACCTTATGTGCTTTGAACTGGCGACCTAAGAGAAAAGATAACATAGTTGGTATTATTATTATTATATCGTCTAATAACGCCACCACCACCACCAGCCCTTTTACGTCCCCACTGCAGGGGCTCAGGCCTTCCTTATGGATGGTTAAGGAGGATGGGTTTTGATCCTCCACGCCTGCCCAATGCGGATTGGAGGATATTAACGACTGCAAATGCAGCCGGGACCAACGGCTTAACGTGCCTTCCGAAGCATGGAGTAGCTCGAGATAATCATTTTTCGTCACCCATCCCGTGACCGACCCTTGCGAAAGTTGCTTAACGACTACGATCGCAGGCCGCGGCGATTACCCACTACGCCACCAAGCTAAATTAATTTTCTCAGGCTACAACCTAAAAGTATTAATACACGTTCAAATTATTTTTCAGATGTGATTACTATTCATAAGTAACGTTTCTAAGTAATTAAGAAACTTCATCAAGTCAAAGTATCTAACCTTTGAGCTTACGCATCACAATACCTACAACTTGACCTTCACAAACTTCGCATTGATATGCAAGCATATTCTAGGTTAATTTTATACACTTGCGTAAATATTTTTGTTTAGTTTTCGAAATAAACAACTAGTAAAGGTAAATTCGAAACTACAAGTTCAGTATTTTGGATTCCTGAGGCTTTTATAATCTGACATGATATTCTAGTTTGTCAAGGTTATTTGCTTTAATGCCACGATTTCTTTCAGTTAGTAACGTTTTCCTACTTAACTACCTATACGTTTGTATGTTTATAACATTTGAATTAATTATTTTAAAATATTCTAAAGGTCATCGTTTTGGATATAAATTAGGCGGTAGATACTCGTAGATTAATAATCCGCGAACTCTTCTCGTGCTTTTCGTATAATTAAATTTTAAATTTCTCTAAAATTTTACTCCCGTTTAAGTTAAATACAAACGTCTCGTACGAGTATGTTGAATGCTAAATCAATAGCAGTAAAAGGTGGATTTTCTGAAACGCGTAATTCTCAGATTACAATTTTTATTTGAAAGAAATTTATTAGACAGTTATTTATCTAACACTAAATAGAATACGCGCAACACACGAATCCTGAAATAGGTCCGTTTTCCTCAATGTCACATATAAGTTTACGAAATTCGATCATAGATGGCAGCACCGGCAACATCTGGCCCTACCACTGCGCCTATAAAACAATAATCTAAATATTTCAAGGTCAGTAACCGCTACCGTCGACTTCCTATGTTGCAAGCATTTAGAATGATTCCCATGCGATGACTCACTGGCTAGTGATTATATTTAGCGGATATAATAATATACTCAAAATTGATCGGCTGTATAATAGTCATCAATTAAATGAACCCTTCCTACTTTAAAGATTCGTCTTGAGGTTTTTCTCAATTGAATAATAAACCATAACCTGATTAACAAGCCTTGTTTTAAAAAAAACCTAATTATATCATTTTATTTCATACAGCTCCCAATATCACACTTTGTAATGACACTCTAAACTGGCACACCGCGTAGCACTATCATAGGTAAATGCGTATAATGTCAATGTCCATTTGATTATAGGCCTTATGTCGATTACATAAGGACGGAAACAACTCGTCGGAGGTTCGTCGCGGTGCAGATAAACCACAATACATTGGGAGTTACGTCAGAGTGGATCGCGCGGAACAAAATACACTTAGCCTTGGAACAGCCGCGTATGCGCCACAGGCTAGCCGCGAACGTCTTATTTAATTAATGCATTCAAATTATATATAATTAAATCTCAATGACGCGGTAGTTGCACTTCGAAAAGCACATTAATCTATTGGTCCTGACTTCGACTGTTGTTAACAATTCACACTGGACGCACTTGGTGGCTTATGACCAGTTGTCCCTTATATGATTCTATCCATAAGGTACACCTGAAGCCTTCTCCAACTGTTGCAACATAAATAAGCATAGTACTTCTTATAGTCGCCATTTTCAATGACCTTTCTTAGAATAAAATCTTATAAGTTGTTTATAAAACGGAATCGTGCCTATTTTGTAATCATTTAATCGAGTGGCAGCAGCCTTAACTAAATCTCGGCAATGCACGACCGTTACGCTCCTCTAAACTCCGCCTACGAATTTGTTTAAATACTTCCTTGTTGTATCTCTGTCTCTTTACGTTAAATTCAACTATAGATTTACCTTATTCTGAATTTAGAAACTAGCATAATTAATTGGATATTTGATGGAATTTCCGTTATAAATTCTATTATTTTAACATAGCTATCGCTATTAAATAAATTTCTTTCAAACCTTTTTAAGTGTAATTTACCTGTAGTCGGTTTTTAGTTTTAGAATTTGCTTTTTTTTAATTTATTGGCGCTACTCAAAATATTATTTTGATATCTTTCCGCCATGTTCGGCCTGCCCTCGTGTATTTTCCGTGAACACCTGAAATCACACGCTATACAAATAAATTTCATTATGTTTACTAAGAATAATGGTTTCAACATATTATATATGAAGTTGAAATGATTAATAATATTGCATTTAAGTAAATTTCATGTTTAAAAAAAAATTTACTATAATTTCTTTTAAATACATTATCGATAAATATGAAAAAAATAACCATCTAAGCAAAACAAGATATAAAAACCGATGGTAAATTTTATATTATCAAAAAACATGTCAATTATTTTTTATAGTGCAAAAAAAACTGGGGACTTGAAAAGAAATTACTAACTATATTATCCGATTGTCAGCACAATTTTTTTTATGCTTGAATACAATAAAATCTCCTTGAAACGTGTAGATTTTTAATAATTTAAAAGTATTTCGCTTTTTATATCATACCTAATAATTAAAATTATATTTTTCCAGAGATCTAAGTGATATCGTAATTGTTTGAGTTTATTCCAGCTCTATAATATTTATGATGTTACAAACATATGAAAAAATATATTCTATGAAGTGTTCCAAACAGGACGAAACGGACGCTTCCGAAACTAATTGCCAATTAAATTTCTAATTTCAAACAAAGCTATCGGAACAAAGTAAGCCTAACTCATAAAGTACAACCGAACGTTCAAGTTCAACAAAAACGAAATTCTCTTTATTAAAAAGTTCAATAATAATATTAGTTTCCAACAGAAAATTCAATATTGGGAGGAGTATTCTTTTTCCAATTATAAGCTTATTATAAAAAAAATAGGTCAATAGTCAATTGTTAATAAAAGCACATTATTATTAATATACATATAAAAACTGTTTTTTTTTTAATTAAAATTTTTTGTCATTTAATTGTTTTCAAAAATAATTTTAAAAGGCTTTTGTAAATTTTGCCAAAGTTATATATATAATATCACCAGAATCACTAGACGACAATAATTATTAAATTTTATTAATCTCAATGACATTCATTAAAATAAAATTTTCAACTGAAAAATATACGAACCAACCATATAGTTGAAACGTTTCCAAAAACTTTAATTGGCATGTCGAAAACTATTTAACTAAGTAACATGTCGCTGACTCATAGTTAATCCAGCATATCCTATTTCTTTTTATCCAATGGTAAATAATTGAACAAATTAGTTACCATATATATTTTATATAATTTATATTTATATGCTAAATTAGTTACCAAAAACTGGTTGATGGGTCTGAACTATACAGAGACTGATCACCTCCTTCCATCAACTGGCTGACATGCTGCCCTTAATCTTCACATCACACTTTACACACACCTTTGTACACCCAAATGAACGATCGCATTTATTGTTTACCTTGCTAAATTGTTTAAGTATTAATAATAAACTATGATTTATAAATTTGCCTAATGATCTAATAATTCTTTGAGTTAAATGTGCAATTATTATTTTGTTTTCTTCTGGTGTTCACCTTCGGTCACTACTGTTCAGGTCTGCGAGCCTAGTGTAGTGATCACTGCCTAGCTAAGTAACTGTACGCTGTTTGGAAAATAAATAATATTTGATTTGATTTGATTTGATTTGAACAGCCCTGCGATTCTGTAAAGATTCGAACCTGAATTCAAATCCACTCAGGTGACTGAATTCACTTCAAAAGCGGCATCCGCTCAATCTTGAATTGGTAATAACATTTCGTGGCACAAGTGAAGTGAGTTTCGAAATGACATAGAAATAGAATATCTGAGACACGTATGAATCGATCAATCTTGATTTGTATTTTTATACAAAAATGGAATCAGTAGAATTTCTACACTAAATGACGTGAATACGAATTTTTACAGAATCGCTATGCAGAAGATTTACTCTGCTCTATATTTCGGCAATAGGAACTCCTCGGTCCATCCGCCTGTCGCAGGCGCCGCCATTGCACTCCCCCCTCACCCCTTCAACGAGGAAACGGGCGAACGACATTGGTCGACGCAGCTTGCAACATCGACATTGGCCCAGTTAGTAGACCTACTAAATGCTGCTATCTGTGTGTTCGGGACTGCGCTAGACGCTCAGGGATATAATCGGATGGTTTAAAAACAAAAATGCTTTGTTCCATTTTTAATTTTTAGTCGGTACTTTGTGTCGCAACCGACACTTACTATGATAAATGTAATTTCTAAATTAGAATCTACTACTCGTTTCACGCATACTAATTTCACAGTTTCGACGCAAACCAATTCGTAGGATTCATTTGGGATCGGTGTACTTTATTGATACTTTTATTAAAAAACCGTAAGGGATCCTAAACATCAATAGCAAAAACCCTTATAAATAAATAATTGTAATAAATATTTTATACTCCAATATTTTAACTTTACAAATTAGCTGCTATATAAACTCTTCCATAGATTATCAACATTTTTCCTGATATTCCTGATTGCTTCAACAACAGTAATCGGAACAAAGTACTATGTTTTAGAATAAGCCCACCGATTGTGTTTGCTTAAGACGGAATGTCATGGTACCTATTTTAGCTGCTCATCACACCTCAAGTAACATTAGTACTTATTATAATATAAAATAATGCATAAATTATGAAACGCTTTTACA